TATAACGCCCCCTGCTGGTTGAATCAAAGAGTAAAACAATACATGTTTTTGACTCACTGATTCAAATTGTCCATATTTGCAGAATGTTTAACTGTATCATCCCTGCACTGCCTTTAGACAAAAGCTGTCGGTCTTTACTGCAGAACGTGACCTCTCCGAGTGCTCATAGTGTGAAAAAGTCAATCTCCTCAAAACTTTCGCTCACACTTCCACGCACACATCCCTCTTCACACCCTTGTCGTCTCTGGGAGATTGAAGAGGGTCGGGTGTCTCCGTGTCACTGAGCCGGTTACTGCAGCAGCTGATGATTCTTCAGGCCAGCCACACGGATGAGGGGTCAGCCTCTATTTTCTTCTTCTTCTGTCTCTGTAAGCTCCCTCTCCATTCTCTTTTATACACATCTCCTGTGTGCATCCAATCTCTCCGGCTTTAATACCTCACACCCCTCTTTCACACACCTCACGGTTGACCTTCTTCACCTCTACTTCCTGTTTGGAAAGTCTCCTCACACTGTATGATTGCAATTACTTTCACACTGAGCTTGTTAGAAGGGCCGTAAGGAACTGCAAGGTGCTGCTCACACAGCTGTTGAGTCACATCTCCAATTTTGTCCAATAGAAAGTGACTGTAGCTCCTCTCTGCCGGTCCTTTTTTTGTCACTTTCCTACCAATGACATTTAAACACAAGACTCTCTTCTGTCCTTTTCACACACGTGAAAAGGTCACATTTTACCTTTGTCTGCTCGTTCTCTTTTCCATCGATTAAAAAAAAAAACTGCGATTACACGCTCACTGCATCCCTCCCTCTGTCAGAAGTGCTGTTATTAACTTTTTGAACTCAATTCAGCGTTTAGAGCAGCGAGTTTTTGTGTTGCAGAAAATGTTTTTTTTTTTTTTCCCATTATCACGGCTGGAAGATATGTTCCTATCTGCCTCAAATATGAAAGTAACCTTCAAAGTGATGAATAGGAGGGAAGCGCCTCCGCGCTGTGAGTGTGCGCGGCATTGTCGACGAGGCGAAACAGAACATCAACGAGACAAAACATCTGAGTTGTTTTCAAAGTGTTTTCTAGTAACGAAACCAGAAATACATATTTGAAAATCCAGCGTGCTAAAGGAGTCCTTACTGAAGCTTGTTAAAACTGAAATAGTGGTGGAGCTGGCAAGCTGGCGAGCTGTCAGGTTTCACCCTCAGTGGTTTAATGATGGGTCAAAGTCCTGCAAGGATGCATACGTGAAAACAGACTAACAGCCCAGAGCATTCTTGCCGGTTGTTTCCATCTGCACGGATAATTGGTGCAGAGTCACATGGGGCAGGTTGTATAGAAAGAAAAAACACAACCACAAATAATTTCTGTAAACATTGGAAGGCCAGAAGTACTAAAGGGCATTAGTGTTAAGTGACAAGTACACCATATACACGTTGAAGTGATGTTCTGAGGTCAGAAAAGTTCCTGGGTCAGTTGTTGTCTGACTTCCTCTCACAGTAATATGTGTCCCAATCCACCAATGATGAGAAAAGTCCATCTGCCCTCTGAGTCTGCCTTCTCACCGTAAACAATAGGACATGGAGCGAGAAAGACCGAGACACACAAGCCCCTCCAGAGAGGGGGCGTGGCCAGACACAGCTCATTTACATATTTAAAGCTGCAGAAACAGAAACAACCTGTTCTGATCAGGGCTGAAATAGAGGGGTTTATAGACATGATCAAATAGAGGATCAGAGTGGATTTAGAACAAGAAACTTCACAGACATGTTTTGGGGAGCTCTGAGGCTTATTTAAACTGGTTGAAGAGGAGGAGAATATGTGACCTTTAATACATTTTACATAATTAGTTATTTTGTGTTTTCACATCCTTTGAAAAAGTGGTGATAGACCAATTAATTTGTCCAACACAAACATTTATCATAACCATGCAGCATCCACCATTTTCCCTGACGTGAAAACAATGAGTGCGTTAACAGTAAGCCTTCTCTGACACTGTTTACAAGCCTCTCTAAGTTGTATGGGGATTCCTTTATCCACCCCCCACAGATGGGAAATCAAAACAGGGCTGTCCCACAATTAAAAGCAGATAAGGAGCTCAGCAGAGATGCTCAGGGTCAAGCTTTGACGCGCACATCCAGGTCAGATAACCAACGAGATCAGAGCATGTACTGGAGGTATTTCCCGGCACGGACACAGAGGTCTGATGACAGCGTGTTGTTGTGGTAGTAGTAGTAGAAGTGATAGCGGAAGCAGGACACAGATTATGGCGTGCTCCTGTTGGGCTCCGATCAGACAGATTGAGTGGGGGCTGGGTGGTTTCACAGTCACTTAAGAGAGCGACACACTTGGACACGCTCCGTTCACTGGGCATTAAACACAATTAAGTCCAGGCACTGTATCCCTCCCCACCTGGACTCTTAAACCTCTTGGTGTTTCCCTCGCTAGCTGTAAATCCACTCAATCTATCTGGCCTCTTAAACGTTCTATTTCTCCCGCGCCGCCTCGAACCCTTATAACGCTCTATATAACGTGGAGGGTGTTAGCGGGGATGCCGTATATTAGCCACTCTGCGTAGGAACATGACCTTTACCAGCATTTTTCAATTGACGTTTCGTTCACCAGTTTTAATCAGGGGAGCACAAAAGGGCCGGCGGGTGCCTCCCAGCGAATACCTCTGAATTATTTAGACGACAGGTGATTGAAAGTCTTCGGAGCGCCGATGCAACTCTGCCTCTGCCTCACTCAAGACTGGGCTCACCCCCGACCACTGGTTCATTCTGAGGTAGAAATACCATCATTCATTTGTGACCAAACGAGTGTCCTTCACTCTGTGTCTGCGCAGTGGGCTCTGTTCATAAACACCCCTGCGTTCCACCTTGAGAGCAGCACTTTGTTTGTAAGAGCGGCGAGTCGTTTCTTTTGACAAGATCACACAAGAGCAATCAGTCACAGCAGAAATCTGAATAGACAGGGTTTTTTTTTTTATCTCTTCTACATCACTCATCAAGTATACACCTGATTCTTTCATTCTGTGTTCTCGCTTTAACCACATCTACTCACTTCTGGAGGACCACGTGCATCGTTCATACACACCTAAAAAGTTGTCCTGCTCAGTGCAGTTTGCTTGTTTTACGTCTGAATGTGGAGAGAAGCTATCTGCACCTTTACTCTGTTACGCTTTAGGTGACAGAGTAAAGCCTGCTCAGGGCTAAAACTTCCCTCCTGAATGGAGCAAGCATGGACAACTTTTACAAAAGACCAATACTCCCATCCATGTCATGTTTCACAGCTCCAGACTCATTCAGCACATGTGGAAGAAGTGTCAAGCTGCTACTGATTAAGCCCTGGTTAGTGCCGAACATATTTTGAAAAAGCTGTGGTGGAATTGGACATGGTTACTAGCACCAGTGTTTGTAAATGTTTTGCTTTTTGCAGTGAGGCCTAACTCCATAAAAAAGGACATCAAATCACTGCATGATGACTCATTTAAATACCACCAGTGCTCAGAGACGCTGTTTGCTTTGCAGTGCAGTTAGGGGTGAAATTAACCCTTTGTGTGTGTTTTGTAAATTAGTGTCTTTTGTCGTTTTTGCACAGCTTTAGTGTTTGAAAAATCTGAACCATCATTTTGTGAGTCCGCCCCTGATTGTGCTGGTGTATATACCCGAAGGCGCCTTCATCCATGGTGGTCGGCCTCAACAAAGTCAAACCTCGCTGCTCAAAGGTCAGAGGTTAATGAGTGGGAAACTGAACTCATCTGACACACGAGAGGGGTGCTGGTGTATGTATGTACAGATCCTATAGGACTCATTAGACCCGGAAGCGTCCCTCATCACCTCATGAGGCGTTTTTCTTTTCCACATCATCACCCCGCGTCCCTGAGAAGCTCTCTTCAGTTTGCCGGACTTGTAATGCGCTTTGAGTCACTTTGTTTTACCCGCGCTGCAAAATAGCCGAACAACAGACGAGTGGCCATCAGTCAGGTTGAAAACACGGTTTGTGATGATCAGTTGTGCCGTTTGTCAGTTAAACTTTGTCAGATGAAGAAGACACAAGCATCATGTTTGGTGCATCAATTATTTGACTCTGTGTGCCTGGGTGTGTGTATTGTTTGCATGCGCAGCAGGTTTGTTGTACATATTGCTGACAGGCTTTAAAATGTTCTGGAGCAGCGGTGCGAAGATGAGAAAAAGAGGTATGGAGGGATAGAAAGGGCGGCGATGCGATGATTTACCACGGCGCCTCTCCATATTTTATCTCATTGGGGATTTTTTTTTTTATTCATGAAGATTGCCTTGGGTATTTTATTCTATTAAGTGCAGGCAAAAAAATGTCACCACTTTCCCTCCTCGCCTATATTTCACAGGGTGGTTGGTGTGTTGTGTTGCTCTTCTCCCTGATAGATGGAGCAGCACATCAGCAGGTGGGACTCTCCACTTTGCCAATCCACACCATCTGTAAACAATGTCTTACACTAATGGACTCACACTGCAGCCCTCTCACACACACATCACTGGGGGCCTGGCAGAGGGGGAATTAGGGGAATTGCTCCCTCTAGGTGAAATTAAAGTCTACTGCAGGTAGTTTGTGAAGGTTTTCATTTTTACAGAGTGGCAGTAATTGCATCTCTGTTTGTTCTGGATTTAGTGTAATCAGCTCAAATGTGCACAACCAGCACAGCCCAAGTCCAATCTTTTTTTTTTTTTTGCTCTAATCTCTTGCAGAGCTACTATTGGCTTATGATAGTTGTAATTGGTGGTAAACCCTCTTGTTTCTGAGCTGTTTGCGGATGGATGACTGCGTGGGCAACTCCCCAAGCATCAAGAGGGGATCTGAGCCTGTTGCAGAACGCTTCCTGAGCTGTGTTTTTGTTTATTTGTTTGTTGATCTGTCATTATGAGCACAGCCTAGCAGCTGAAAATGAAGTTTGTCCTGTCACTAAACCCTGAATGCTCTTATCTGCACGTACCTCTCTCACCTCGTCCTCTGCCTTATCTCTTTGCCTTGCAGTTATGCGGCTGTGGGCTGCTCGGCGTGGGCATCTGGCTCTCGGTGTCTCAGGGCAGCTTCGCCACCTTCTCGCCCTCATTCCCCTCATTGTCAGCTGCCAACATGGTCATCGCCATCGGCGCCATCGTCATGGTAACGGGCTTCCTCGGCTGCCTGGGTGCCATCAAGGAGAACAAGTGCCTGCTTCTAAGCGTGAGTCAAATCTAAATACCTTGAATGAGACGACTGTGCGGGCGCTGATGCAGCTCCTCTCTCTCTCTCTCTCTCTCTCTCTCTCTCTCTCGCTCCTCTCCTTCTTTCTTCCTTTAGATATTTATTCTCACATCCTCCACTTCACCCATGCAAATATTGACAGAAATTGTCTTGTGGAGACATCCTTACGAATATCAATCAATTCATGTGTTTCCCTCACACCTACACACGCTGGTCACAGGCCAGCAGGAACTCAGCGGCGTATTTGTGTTGGTCTACGAGCCGGAACTACAGTGGAGAGAGACGCCTGAGCTCAGACCTCAGGAGCTCACAGAGGGAAATGCAGCCGAGCAGAGCGATTGTCTTTTTCTGCAAATGAACTTCAAAGCATTCCTGTATTATTTTTCTGCAGCTTTTGTTATAGCCTATAGTGAAAGACCTGTCAGTTAAATGGCCTTACTGTACATTTTGCTCTGAAAGCAGGTGATATTTTAGAGCTCAACACCTGACAATGTTCTTGTATTCATTACAAAGGCTCACCTGCCTTGCAGTCTTTGACCAAAGTTGTAAAAGTGTTTAATCTGAAGCACAAGTTAATTACAAAAGTTCAAGAATTATAATGAGGTTTTATTTTTTTCCTGGCTCTGCGGTAAAAAAAATAAAGAACTTTTTAGTATACTGTAGAAAGTTTCAGCGAGAAGCGGATTTGGAGGCTCTGGGTGCTTAACACCACAAACAGCTCAATCCCTTCAAGCTCTTACATCAGTCAAAAGCCTCACCAAATCCTCAGTGTTCGACATGGCTCCCTTCACCCGCCGAACAACTGTGAAGCAGGCGAAGGGAGGGAAGGGGGGGGGGGAGATAATGAAGAATGTACATTTTTCATTAAAGTTTGGTCATGTCTGTGAGCAGCAGCATTTCATATTTGGTCCTGATCATCAGTTTAAAGCTGAGGTGTCTGCTAGTCTTTGTTGTTGTTGTTTTATTTGTAGTCTGAAGGTCCGGCTCTGCACGCACTAAAGGGTGGGGTGGGAGGGGGGTACGTAAAAAAACATCAGAGTAGGTTTAGATCTCAGGGAGCAAACAGATCTGAGCATCCACCTTGACATATTATCTCTGAAGTGACTCTGCAGCCCACACTCTGGATTTAAAAAAAAAGCCCAGACATCCTTTCGCAGGTACTTTTCAGACTCTCTCTCTCTCTCTCTCTCTCTCTCTCTCTCTCTCTCTCTCTCTCTCTCTCTCTCTCTCTCTCCTTATTTTGCTGCCAAGAAATTGGTTTACTGAAACAAATACATTAAATCAAAAAACTAAGTGGGACAGAAACACCAACTCTTTAAAGTGTGAATTGCAAACAAATGAGAAATCTCGCCCACATAGCTGTGTATGCATGTGAATACATACTCGCTCGCTCTCACACCGAGCCATCTCGCCAATTTAGTGTAGAGACGCTGTGCCTTAACTTTCAAATGTGACTAACTTACTGTGAAGTCACAAATAAACCAGCTGCCACACTGCAAAAAACTCAAATCTTACAAGCAGTCAGTAGAAATGTTGGTAAACACAAACTGGGCCCCTCCTCCGGCCCTGGTCGCCCCCAGAAGAACATACCCACTGCAGGACGTTTACTGCTTTTACCTACACGCATGCTAGCACAAGCTAACCACCGGCGTTTGTCACCTGCCTGCCCCACAGAAAGCAGGCCAACTGAGCGACTGCAGATGAGAGCAAACACAAGGTTCACCCTCGTTTCAGAACGAGCTTACAGGGTTTTCCTCACTATGGTTTTATTTGGTCTTCTTTGACGCTACGTCCATGCCCGTCATATTTAACAGTTTGAATTGCATCCAATCGCTGATATGTATCCACTCCTAAACTCACCTGCTGCGCTGTCATTGGCCGGAGGAAACACACCATCTCCCCACCCAGAAACATCCCGAGTCAACCAAATCAAACATCGACAGTAATAATAATAGACTTTATTTGGCATGGACATCACAGATACATTGGACGAACCAGATGCATTGTTTAAGTGTTTTAGCAAGCATGCTAGTTCTCAACACCTGTCCACAGGAGGCTTTTGAAAAGAAAACAATTAAGATAGGGAGAAAAGCGATAAACAGAGAAAACAATAATGGGAGAATAAATAAATAGAACTGTAGAGCAAAGGCAGCATGATCAAACAATAACCCAGTCAGAAGCTATTCATGTGAGCACTGTGTTTTGCTTTTAGCCATTGTTTGAGTCCTCTGTTAAAAGCATTACTATTGCTCTCTAATTTTATGCCAGTGGGCAGAGAGCTCCAAAGTTTTGCCCCCTTTGCAGAGAAAGCAGACTGGCCAAAAGATGTCTTGTACATTGTGACAAGAAAATCACCGCTGATGGAATAAAATCCAGTCAGAGGACAGAGTCTCTGCAGACACAGTCACCACCACACATGGCCTAGAAGGGACGATGGAGCAGCTTCACTTTGTATAAGTCTTTTTTTATGTTTTAGGAAAAAGCTGCTGGCCACCTAAAAAAAAAAAAAAACACCCTGTAAAACCTTCTAAAAGTATTGTTTGAACACAACCTCCCCGACCTGAGGGCTCCTGAGGGTTTTCAGGAGACCTGAACAGAATTTCAACGTTTACTGAGATTTTTATCAACCTCTGTAGCAGTTAGAAGACATCATATTAAAAACATCTGAGCACTTAAAATCCTTGGCTTGAACGGTAACACATTGCCTTTGAACTAAAGTACATTAACATTTTATAAAGTCATTAATAAACAACAACAGAACAACAATATGTTCAATCATTGCATGTCTAAATGGGTTCATATCACATTCACTTGACAAGGCCAGAAAAAAAACATCTTATTTCAAGATAGAGAAAAGAAGATAAGGCCTGGATTGCTTTAAAATAAAACAAATAAGAAACAAGAAACATTTGAATAGTTTAGCGTCTTTAAATAGACGGTATTAACTTATTCAGATACAGAAATCTCAGTTTTTGTGCCCAGTTGACAAGTTTCTTTTACTTATTACAAGCAATGCATTCCTTATTTTTGCTTTTGTATATCTTGAAATAAGATGTTTATCTGGATTTATGGCTTAAAATAAATGTTAAGAGATATTATTGACAAGAAAACGGACTATAGATTTGAGTTTTTTGCAGTGCAGAAATAACAACCCTGCACACGAACAGTTAAAACTTGTTTTCATTTAATTCCGGCCTTGACGCAAATAACAGCCAAGCATCTTTCCTCCCAAAAGAGTTCTGAATTAATGGTGTTTTCTTAAATCTAGGTTTGCATGACTCCCCCCATACTGTGCAGAGAAGCTTGGTAAATATTGAGCTGAATGGAGTCAAGTGGGGAGAGGAAAATAGTGGATGAGATGCAAGGCTGATCTGGAAATGAATCTAGGGATGCATTAAAGTGCCCCCCCCCCCACCCTCTCACACATCCACCAGCCCTCCAGCACTTACAGTTTCCTCGATCCGTCACTCCCTCCTCATCCCTTATCTCTGTTTTTCTGTATTTAATGATCATGTTAGAGTGTTTTTTTTTTTTATGTCTGACTTGATAGATCTGGGTTTCTGTCTATTCAGCTCACAAACTGAGACCACAGACCATCACATCAGAACAATTCAACATTTAGTAGAATACAGTTTGTTTGTTTTCTTGTTAAAAGCTGGAAAAGACAATCTTTACCACTGTTATGTGTGTATGCTAAATATGAAGCTACTATGCCAGGAGTCAGTGTGTCCTTGCAGTACCTGTACAGCTTATTGTCCTTGTTCCGCTCATTCCTTGGCTATTTATTTGTTAAGTAAATCCAGTCCTACACAATATAAACTAAATGCCCTTTTTTTCACCTTTTTTTTCACCTACTATACCTACTATATGATCAGACATTAAGGAAACATGCTATGTTGAAGTGTTGGCTTCTCAGACAACAATGCAGCAGCCAGTATGTCCTCCTTCTAACTTTAGATTCTGCTCCTGAATGCTCTGGATTTGTTTGGACCAGAGAAGATGTGCATGTTTCTAATAAGCTCCACGAGCAGAAACGTGCTCAAACTAGAATCAATATTGGAGATGCTTTTGAAAAATGGAGAGAGGATAGAACACAGAAAGGTTTACAGACCGATGCAGAGCTGGATAAACACTGAAGCTTCAGTGTCCACCACATGGCAACCTGTGTGAGCATCGACTCTAGAGAGGAGGGGGCGGGGGGAGACAGCTCTCTGTAATGTTTTGAATTTGGACTGCAGTATCCATTTTAAACACTAGGTGTCAGAGTTACATACTGCTCCTTTAAAGAACCAGGATGTGATGTTTTGAATAAGAAAGCTTTAGAGGTTAGATGAAAAGCTAGAGTCTGCAGGCTAACTTTGCCCATGTTTTCAGTCTACATGAAAATTTGCATTCAAATGTATCCGTTAGTTTCTTCACATCTAAATCAATGGAAAGGGGCGCATTAATGTATTTTACAGGACTGTTGAACTATTTCCTAAACATGTTCCCCTACATGGATGAAAAATGTATTTCCTTTTGCTAATACTTTATTTAGCCAGACATGTCAGGCTGAGATAGAAGATTTATTCTCTCAGTGAGTCACGTACCTGCACATTTTATATGAGAATAGATTGAAGATGGTTCAAATTCATCGCAAGTATGTCGTTAAAATCCAATACAACACTCTTCCTATGATAAAACATTTTCATGTAAAAAATCCATAATAAAATATTTAAGAGATGCACGGTGGGCCTTGGGGTGAAGGGGGTGGGGGGGTAAAAGATAATATATCCTCGCCCTTCTGGCTGCATATATATTTGTCTGCAGCCTCACATCTCAAGCTGTGATCGGGTTCAGACCCGCTCAGCTGTTCAAACAAGTCCAGTTCCGGTGCTCAGTGCTCAGCTGGTCCTGTGGGATAAAAACATCTGTGGTTGGTGTACGGCATGGTGAAGATTAGGGTGAGGAGGATGGAGTAAGGTGCAGAGTACGGCTGTATTTGTTCGCTACAAATCCCAGATGCAGAGCTAATTATAAAAATGATAAAAAGTGTCATGTAATACAAAATGGTTTTTTAATCTGTTTGATAAGGTGGTTGAACATTACCTCCAAAGTGATTACTAAAACAAGGCTCTCTCTCTCTCTCTCTCTTCTCTCTGACAGTTCTTCATTGTCCTGCTGATCATTCTCCTGGCAGAGCTCATACTGATCATCCTTTTCTTTGTGTACTCAGACAAGGTGAGTTCATTTTGTTTTTCCCGTTCTGTCTGAATGTCAAAAGCTAACGTCTCTTATTGTGGCATCTAATGCTCTAACATTTGCTCTATGCAGTCCAAAACGTCACCACAGTTATTTTACATGCTGAGCGATGTGCATTACAGATTGAACCCTGGAATACTAAAGTCCTAAACATTAGTAGTATGATATCACTCATACCCTGGGCCTGAAAACTTTCAGGACAAGCTGCCCCTGAAATCTTCATGCGATGCTTATCCACATATGTTGCCCAAACATGAAGTTTTCCCTGTCGGATGGCAAGCGAGGTCTCAGGAGGCAGGACATGATGTAAAAAAAGACGCTGCAGAAAGCCTAGATGGAGGACGAATGGACAGAATCAGACACTGTACCTTCATTTGTTTCAGCGTCCCAAGTAATATCCCGGACGTGCATCAGTCGAATGATATAATCTTCATCACCCCGACTCACTCTCTCAGTGAATATTTCCTGCTGCGTTCTCACATCCACTCATCCCGAAGTTTTACTCGGAGGCTGGCAGGAAAAGTCTGGATACATTTAGGTTGAAAACATTGGCGGGTTGTGTTCACACCTGAGGATTTTTTGGGAGAATTTCAGAAGTTTGTTCATTTTTTTTAAAACAGCAATACATAACCATGACCACACACAGGCGCACGATAAACACACACATGCTCCAGTTGCCTGCTGGGATTTGACTCTTTTTATATCCAGTTGTACCCCAGACAGGAGGATAAAAGTCTTCATTTTTCTGTTAACCCAGCAGCCAAAGGTTAGGCCACAAAATGCAGCCACATCCCCACCAGTTGGCCCCAGTAATTGGTCCCCAGAACATTTCCCATGACCCCTGCAGGGGCTGGAGTCAGGTGTAAGTCTGTGGTGACTACAGATGATGATATGTAAAGCTCTGGAGATTACAGACATGCATGAGCAGACTGGATACTTCTGCATGTTTGATTAAATCCCCCCGGCCCCCCCACAAATGTTCGCTCGTGAAGATGACAAATGTCTTGTGCCGAACAAGAGGTGAAGCCTTCGATGTGTTTTCAAGGACACGCTGTTGATAGATGCATCTATTTTTTTGTATTCAAAGTCTCTATGTCGCAGAGCTCTCGGGATGTTGTCTAATTCTCCCGCTTTGTTCCGAGGTTATTTCTCAAACTTAGTCTCTCAGGCAGATAAAGGAATTCATTTAGCAGCCAATCCATTCTCAGATTTGGATCAGGTCTCAGAGGCAAACCTCCGTCAGTAGTAAATATGTCTGCTGCCTTATCTCCAAAATATTACCGGCTTAACTTTAGGTGGGGGGAAAAAAAAAACTCCAAACCCTGATGTGCCAGTGGAATTTAAATCGAAGGCTCTTGACTCTGCAGCTCTGCTTCCCATCACCTGTGAAGTCAGGAAAAGATAGGCAAATAGGGCTGAGGATTTCCTGAACCAGAAATGAGTCTGCATGAATAAGGGATGTGGGGTCTCGTTCACCAGTGATCAAGTGAATACTGACTGATTTTTTCATGCCAGATTACAGCGTTTTTTCTTCTTCCCGCTGGCTTAGATCTAAAATGATGTGAAACCAATGATACCAAACGTTATTCCTTGTTTTGGTTTTCAAATATCATTGGAGAGCGAGGCCGTCACAGTCAATGACATATCACTGGAGATGACATTTTCACGCTGCCTTCAAATAAGACGTCTTGCAAATTTGAGGAAATGATCTTGCGCTGTTGCTCGGATGGCATTTGATGTTACAGAATGTCACAAATAGATAGGGGACAAAAAGGTGTCCATCTAACATTCAGATGTTGTTTTTTTTTTCTTTGGCTCGTTCTCTCCAATGAGATCTTGTATGCTGTCTGAGGCTCTCTTTATCCTCCACTGCAGGCTGTGATCAGAGGAATCACTAATTCACTTCTCCTATTTGATCTCCTAATCACAAGGCATTTATTAACAAGTCTGGAAGACGTACAGTAGCTGGCAGCTTTTAAATGTGTATCGACAGAGGCGCACCAAACAGATTCTTTAGTCTTTCAAATAGGTCATCTTTAAGTCATGAGCGACGCCTTTGCCAACAGCGGTCTTTCTGGGTGACAAGCTGTCGACGAGACGAGACGAGGAGAAGACATGAACATATAGTTTCCTGCTCTGCTGGAGGAACACTTTGCGGCACTGCTTTCATTTAGTCACCCCGTCTCCCCGCTTATTCCTGTGTTCCCACCAGTTTAATCCTGCTTAAGAGGCAGCGCTCTTTCTTCCTAATGGAAAATCTCTCTCTCAACTCTCTCAGCCCGGCAGGCTCGCCTTCAGGTATGGCGTGTGTGTTTAGGTAGCCCGTCGTTCCCTTCACAGGCCAATGGTGTTGAGCTCGCTGATTAAATGCCGCGTAGAGGCCGTAGTATAGTAAAGGCCGGCCCTGCAGTTAGCAACCCAGCTGACTCCAGCAGATGGCTGAGTTACAAACCAGATTACAGCCATCCGTCTTTAACGCCATGACCTCATTGTGCCTCCTCAGACCCGACACGTCGAGCCAAACACACCAGCGGAAGGTTTATTAGCTCAGAACGAGGAAGCAGAACCTGGGGAGTAGTCGGGGGAGAGAACCAGAGTGTGTGATGTAGGGAGAAGAGCCGGAAAAAAAAAAGTGAACTCAGGTGAGAGAACAAGCGAGGTGGGAAATGTGAGGAAGAAAGATAAAAATGTGTCAGGGAGGGAAGTTGTTAGAGGAGAGAGGGAGCAGCACATTAAAAATAGTCTAAAGGGAGGATCAAAGGAGACAAATGTGACAAGCGTGACGCTGTGAAGTTTTAAAAAAAGACACTCAGGACAAAGGGAACAGTGCCCCTGAGAATTAAGGAAGGTTAGTCGCATAAAAGGAGTCTTTGAGAGGGAAGGGAAGGCCATGCCACATCACTGATTTGTTTTAAGTAACAATCCAACAAACCAGCACACCCATCTGGTCACGTGTTGCATTTTTAAGCAGGCAGAAATTATGTTCAACCCCTGACTGTGCTTTACTATTTCCGGACCAATTACAGAGGAGTGGTGGGGGTCGAGTGTCCTGGCCTCAGGCTACCCGGCACACAGACTCGCAGAGGAACTGAAGGAATGATGTATCCTGTTTAATGATGTGCTGTGGGGGACCTCTTGCTGCGATGCTGCTTCTCTCCACATCATTTATTAGACTTTCCGGGCAGTTAGCAAATGCAGTTATCCAGAGCAGTGCAATGAGAGCAAAATATTGTCAGGCTCTGTTTTGAGGTTTTTTGGGTTTTTTTTGGGGGGGGGAGTCAAAGGAAGGGGAAAATTGGAGCCACTGTGCCCTGACAGGAAACATGCGACACGAGCAGAAGAGAAGAGTACTGAAGACTTTTAAAGACGTACCTCTGAGTGAAGGCAACAAATGAGTCGGCGGAAAGAAAAGGAAAATGCTTTTTGGTGTCAGAATATCCTCACAACTCTTCAACAATAAGTGACTCTGACTCTTTATGAGGTTGCACACTCTCAATGCTGTTTTACAGCTGAGTGAAATGAGCTAACAGTGTCTCTGTGATCTGACAACTCAGACAATCTCTTTCTTTCTTTAATAAAAGCAAAAAACTGTAAAATGTTTGACAAATGTTCTGAACTGGATCTTTGTTTAAGAATTCAGAAAAAACGACTTTTTAAAGACACAAGATGAGATAAGAGGAGGAGGAGATGAGATGAGATTAGGTGGGTTGAGGAGCGAGACGAGGTGAGATAAGATGAGGTTGGAGACGATGTGAGATGAGACGAGACGAGAGGGGGAGATGAGGTAAAATGAGATGAGGTGAGTTGAGGAGGGACAAGAGATGAGATGAGATAAGAGGAGGAAGAACGGGTGACAGAATTTTGAAAAAATCTAAAGCTGTCAACAATTCCGATACTTTAATACTTTTCATTACCACATGTTGAAAACGATTCATTCTCTGTTATTTCAATGATATAGTGTCGGTAAAAAAATCAGATTTTCAGTCATATTTTTAATGCAGGGAAAGAGAGCACTGCCTAAATTGCACAAATATGTTGACAACGTAGAAAGACTTTTGTATTGGAGTCTTTTCAAAGATTTTTTTAGCCATTTTTTTTATGCCGTTATAAGAGAGACAGGACAGTGGATAGCGTCGGAAATGAGAAAAGGTGGGGAATGACATGCGGCATAGGAGCCACAGGTTGGATTTGAACGCCAGGATGCCGCTTGACGACTGTAGCCTCTGTACAAGTGGCGTGCAAACTAACAACTAAGCCATCAGCGTCCCAGTATAGGAACATGTAAGTCATTTAAACACGAGTTCCATGTTGGTGTTTTGATCACAGCCTGTGATCATAAATCCAAAACATGACATTCCAGGTTTAAATGTATCCGTAGCCCCTTGATTCTGCTTCCTCTCTGCACAGCGCTCAGCTCTGCTCTCCCGTCCGTCCATCTGTGTGCAGAGAAGGCGTCAGATGACTCAAAATGATGGTTTCATTAGGCTCTGGTTTTTTTACATACTGTGTGCACAGTTGTGTCTTATTTCACAGATGGGTTGTTTTACCCTTTTAGTTGGCCTCTCTCTCACGCTGATAATATATTTACCAAACCACCTGCATGTAGACCTTTTTTTTTGTGTGTGTGTGTGTGTGTGTGTGTGTGTGTGTGTGTGTGTGTGTGTGTGTGTGTGTGTGTGTGTGTGTGTGTGTGTGTGTGTGTGTGTGTGTGTGTGTGTGTGTGTGTGTGTGTGTGTGAAATTATACTGCAGAGACTGTGATTCATTTAGAAATAAACACTGTAACATCGTCTGAAGATTCTCATCGCTCAAAGTGATAAATAGCAGGTGGGTAAAAGTGGATAAAACTCCCACCAATACACTAATTGCTCTTCTATACACCCAACACGCTGCCTATTGTAAATAAGTCATCCTTTTTTTTTTTCTGTGACTTGTGAGGAACACAAAGTTCCCTCTGAGACACCGGTTGTTTGCCGTCGTCCTCGGAGAAACAATCTAATGAGAGAGGAGACGAGGCGTCAGCCCAGAGCTTACACTCACATTCAAAAGATTCATTTTCTTCTATGGCACACTTTGAATCCAACACAGATGTGGCCTTCACTGACTTAATTGGACACAATGTTCCTGTTGGACATTAAACACGGATGAAAGGTTCAGATCGTACACATTTAGAGGACTGGAGCTGTCTGCTCCGTCATGGCTCAGCGCTCAGGTAATGAGTCAGCACCGAGGCTCCGCGTCTGCATGATGACAAGCCCCCGATGTACCTGGTCCCCCCCCCCCCCCCCCCAAGAGGTTTACATGTCACCAGATCTGGGACTCGGTTCTGACCGTTCGGATCTGTTGCTCTGCAATTATTAATGTGAGTGCTGGGATCAGATAAAAAATATTCTCGCACGGCTTTGGTTAAGATGGAAAATCCTAACAGGAGATAAAAAAATGAAACCTCACCTTTTGGTATATTACCAGTATTGACTGGATGTTTTTGCAGTGTAACAGCAATTCAGTTGACAGACAGGTGTTCTGTTGACAATCCACCACCCACTCTGTGTTTTCTGCCTTGTGCACAGTGACAGAAAACACACACCAATCTGGATAGAAAGCGTGTTCCCTCCTCCGCACTGTCAACGCGTATATATCTGCTTGTCTGCTTCCGCTTCCCCCCTGATCATGCCTCTCTCCTGTGAGCTGCACCCCTTTATTCATCCTGTGATGAATGAGCTGTCCTGTATCGTGAGTGAGGTGGACTTGTTCCCCGGCGGGGAACTTTCAGAGAAAACTCAGCAGGAGATAGGGCGTTACCAACGAGTGGTGTACTGTGTTACAGCCTCAAGAGCTTCAGTAAAGAAGTTAGTTTTCCTTATGAGGAAAAAAAAAGCTACTAGGACGTGCCTGTGTGTGTATGTGTATCTGCTCCTTTTTCAATAAGAAAATGGGGCAGCGGAGCGTCGCAAGATCAAATCCCTGTTTGTTCTGCACTCGTTTGTCTGCCTCTCGTTAGCGGTAAATCTGCATCATTAAGTTTCATCTCAGGCTGTAACAAAGACTTCCACACATGAAATGGAAGCTGTGCAGAGACTTATTGGAGACAAAGAAGATGATTTTTATTGCAGGAAGGGGCCCCCCTCTGCTCTCTGGTGACTGTGTTTGCAAGAGTCGGTAATGAGCGAGCAGCATCACACAGAGCCTGAGATGGAGAGGAGAAGATAGGAGGATGGAAACAAAGTGCGAGGCAGAGATTGATGATGCTTCGATTCATCTCGCTCTCCTGCACGAGGGCAGATACAGCGTGGGGCTGCAGCCCAAGGTGCAGGATCTCGCTGCTCCGCATCAGCAAAGTTACCCAGTGACGACAAAAAGAAAGCGTTTTGAAATGATGCTAATCCTATTTCAAAGCTTAAAGAGGATTTTCAAAACCGGGTTTTTGCATGATTAATGACTACTTAAGCATTTTATTTCCAGAGCAACTTTAGCTAATCAGGGAAAATCCACTTGAATATCTGATTTAACAAACAGTTTCGGCTCAGAAGAGAACAGTTTGAGGCTTTTTCTTGCTGACTCAAACACTTAATTGAAAGCTTAATGTTGGTATCTGTATGCTCAAAGGGAGGTTTGGTGTGTTCCTCATGTACATTATAATGTACAGTCTATGATTCTCAGCGGAGCTACACAGGTAATAAGTCTAGTCAGATTAAAATTGGTTTTCTCTCGCATAAAAGCAGGCTGACATCTAACAGGCTGCCTCAATTTTGCTGCCTCCATTATTTTTTGAAACAGAGGGAATTACTGAGCAGCCTCCAAACCATGTTTAGCTGAACATCAGTCCTCCCTCTCTGAGGAAGGAAATTGGAGACTATGCAGCTGAAAGAAGCTTGTTTTCTCAGGCGGTGACAGACATGATGCCCTCTTTTTTCATTCAGGCGCAGTCTGATGCCTTGAGCTTGAACTACTCAAGGCTGCATATATGTTCCTTTGCTTGGGATATGACTTTCGTATCGCCTGTGAAGCAGTGTGTCATTTTTCCAGTTAATAATTACCCCTTATCAGAAGCGCCTCTCAATCTGTCCTGGCAGTTAGCGAATCCCCACGGGCGAAGCCAACTGCGGGAGAAGTAAGGCTCCGCTTTTGTATCTCATTAACACATCCAATGAGATATTAATCTCCATCAGACACGGCACAACCCCGAGCACGTCGGGGTTCAGTCAAGAGGAAAATGATTTGGCAGCCAGCGCTGCTGAAGGGCGTGTTGGAGGTGTGTGTTTGTGTGGAGTGAAGCAACACCTGACATGTGTCACATCTGTAGCCATCGTGCAAAAGTTCAGATTATAAATTTAGATGTGGATAGAAGTGTAACCTGCAACCGAGCTGCTGTTATCTGTTGGTTTGAAGGCATCGTCTGCTTTCACATTTTGACAGCTTTATCCTTTTCATCATTAACAGTTTGCTAAATCTAACCCACAAGAAATCCTGTGCAATCTTCTAGAAAAGATAACCGCTTTGCCTTTAACTGTTTGTATCTGTGAGGAAAAGACATGAGCAGTTTGAAAAGAGAAAAACACTGTGAATGCTGCCTACTCCAAGAGAAGGGCTATCATTATTGGTCGAATTCAATAGACCCTTATTGTTTGAGAAAACCCTGTTGAAAGAAGGCCGCTCACCAAGGCTGGTGTTGTCTTTTTGCGTCTGCAGGTGAGTGAGAATGCCAAGCAGGATCTGAAGGACGGCCTGGCTCTCTACAACTCAGAGAACAACATCGGCCTGCGAAACGCCTGGAACATCATCCAGGCAGAGGTAAGTCGTCCTCGCGCCAAGCTTTACATCTAATCTTAGAAACATGCACATGAAGGTCCACTCACAGCAGAAGAAGTGAGACATGTATGCAAAGGTTTAATAAAATATTGCAGCTAATGTATTCTCTGGTGTGTAGCCGTGGCCTTAATGTAACATTAAAAGTCAAACCTGTTAAAGTTCCTTCATCTACAGGAAAAACATGCTAATGACAATCCATTAATCATCAAAGTTAGTTTTAGAAACTTTTTTCAAGAAAAAAAATAATATGTGGTTAAAGAAGTGATGATGATGATGATGGAAGAGTATTTTGGGAGTTTGGAGGCTGATGCATTATTTTTAAGATTAACGCGCGCAATTTCTCACAGACGACTGCGATGCATTTCTTAGGTCCTTAGCTTGATGCTAAGACATAATGGCAATTTCCATTAACTAGCTAACCGAATTAGCATCGTGATCGCTCTTTAAACTTAACAAACATATTTTTTAATGAACAATGTTCAGTAAATAAACATGTTTTTTAAGGTAAGGTATAAGGTAGTTAGCTCTCTCTCTACAGTCTGTAACTCGACAGTTGTGTCGTTGGTCAAAAGAAGATGGTCTGTGGGCCGAATGAATTTAACCCAAATGATCAGTAAATCAAGGAGCAAGCCATGACACCTGTCATTCATTTACACTAAGGTAGTGAATGGAAGAGGATGCAGACAGTGCTTGGGTTAAAAAGAAAAAAATCCATTTACAGGTCTTTTAACTTTATGTTCAGCTGCTTCTTCAGTAAATGTAAAACATTTTATTGTAGATCATTTGAAAACTTAATTTCTCATCTCTTTCGTCAAGAAATGGGTTTATACCAGCCGTCCCTGAATATATACATTCAAATAAACAAACACACACTCGTGCAGATAAACATGAATACATACAAACATCATCAAATGAGGTCTCATACTCTTGACAATCCTCATATAATACAATCTGATGTGTGTGCGTTTTTCCACAGTGGAAGTGCTGCGGTGTGATAGCATACACTGACTGGCACGAGGCTCTGAAGGAGACGGTGGTTCCTGACCGCTGCTGCCAGGAGCATTACCAGAACTGTGGGAGAAACTCCACCAACATGTTCTGGAACAGGGTGAGTCCATTTGAGCTCTGATGGAAACACAAACACCAGGTCAACTTTCTCACATCGTCTCTTAAGCCGTCCTTGTAGCACTAGTGAGATCAGCAGCCAGATCAATACACTCTTGTTGCCTCGCACCCAGTTGTGTTTGTATATACAGTATGTGGCATTACAAAATGATTGTGTTGATCTACGACGCAGACTGGTATTAGTACAGGATTCACAGGGGATGTGTAAATCATCAATCTTATGATCCTCAGTCCATCTGCTCGGGAGTTGCTTTTCCGACCCTTTGTGTGCATTTAAAGTAGATTTAAAGTTTCCTTCTTCATGCAGAATTCTTATCACGCTGGATTTTTTTTTTTTCTTCCATTATGCATGAGACAGCAGCTCGTTCTTTATCAAAAGACCTTGCAGCACATTGTTCACCAATCCCCTCCATTACGAGTGTAATCTAGTTTTGGTCTGGCATGTGGTTTGTTAGCAGGTCCAGAGAAGGGGATTAAAAGCTGTAATGTAATTGCCAAAATGAGAATAGGCAGACATTGAGCTGACCCATTGGGAAAGCACAGCTCTAAAAGCCTGTGTGTAATCCTGCCCGAAGGAGTGGGCCACGCACTACAGAGTCAAGTCTTACATGCTGCCTCAGCACCTATACGCTCAACAAGGGCCACCACTCTGCGGCTCCAAGCCCCATAAAGCCCATCACCTCACCTTCCCGCCTGTGAGCGACCGCTGGATGAACCCAGGTTGGAATACATTTTAGAGTTAGTGCACATGTCTGTCCTTATGGCCCATACGTCTCCACATATAGCCCGACAGTCATGGGTAATTCCCTGCTTTTAACACCTCTGCTGGTCGTGCAGTCAGCCGAGGGTTTATCTCATGAATAATGTATTCAGACCCCGAATAACTTTTCAACTCTTAATCTTTCTTTGATTAAACTTTGATTTAACCAGCATCTCTCTTCCTGGGAAGTTCACTGTTTCAAACATTAACATTAAAAACTGAAGACTGAGTGTTTAGGGACTTACAATCTCACTGTCCCAGGAACGTGTCTTATTGTCTGCTCCAAAGGTCAGGCCAGTCTTAAGCTAAGGTACATTACTTCCTGTTTGGATAAAAACAAAATGCTGGGGCGCTGGTGGCGCAGTGGTTGGAGCGTGCGCCCCCATGTGTTGGGGCTGTAGTCCTCCAGGTGGGCGGCCCAGGTTCGAATCTGACCTGTGGCTCCTTTCCTGCATGTCGTTCCCTACTCTCTTACTCCCTGATTTCCAACTCTTATCTACTGTCGTATCTCTCTTATGAAGGCACAAAATGTCCAAAAATAAATAATTAAAAAACAAAAAAATTAAATAAAAATTAGGAACCTCCAGTAGATCGAAAGTTGCGACATTAACTTAACAAAAACAAAGCGTTTGATGTCAAAAGGAGCATGTTTCTTTTCACTAAGAGTGTGTCTGATCCTGGTTCATCTTGGACCAGTTCGGGTTACCGCACAGTCCATCTAACCAGGTCATGCATAGACCTGTTAAACATTGATTTTTAATTGACTATTTTTAAAAAGTTATAATTTAATTTCTCCCTTTTTTAACGGAGTTGGAACATTCTAATATTTGGAGCATGAATGAATTTCAAATTGCTCGACTAAGGTTCACATAATCAGAAGTATATATAATTACTGGTTCCAGGCTTTTTGGACCTGCAGGTTGCAGCGGGTGCAAGAAACAAAAAGCTCAGGGAATCAACAGAAACGGAAACAAAGTGAACCATAAAAAGTACAATCCACAGTCATGTCAGGAGCGGAGAAGGCTGTAAGAGGACGTAAAGCAATGGCTACGACGTGATAATGAAAGTACTTCCAGCACAGCAGATCTGACAAGCAGTGTACTCAACAATACAATGAGGTCGTTCACTGTGAATATCAGAGGCTGAAATAGATTTGATAGCTCTCCATAATTTCCTGGGGTTATTCAAATTGTCACTCGTCGCAGACTGATAATATTCAGACTTAGCTCGGCTGCTAAATGAAGGGAAATGATTGCCAAAAAAAAAATGGAGCTGACTGTGTGTCAGCCGTTAATGAGCGGATGAGCAAGAAGAACTTCCTCAAGCTAAATGAAGATAAGACTCAGATCCTCGCAGAGCCAAAAACATTTGAGGCCCTTCTGTTCTCACTAAACTTTGGCATCGAGCTTCACAGACACAACTGCAAGACTCGTAATCATTTCACTTTCTGACCTCAGAATTTCAGTTTATTTTAATTAGTTGAAAAAATTGCTTTGCATCATTTGTGCAATAAAGTAACTGTGAGATCTAAACACCGAAAGTGTGACACAGAAACGCTCTTCATATTTTAGTCTCTCAAGAAGTCGCTGCCAACCTAATGGACCAGTCAGGCTGCTGCTGCAAGTTTCAAACCAAGAATACATTGGACGATAATACCGTTTCTGTTTAATACAACTGACTCTCGCTTTCAGTAACTTTTAGAATGTATCCTGTATAGAGTGACTCTGCAGGTCTCATCTCCTCTTGCACACTGGTACACAGTCTGGGGGCTCTGACAGCAAAAAGCCCCGCCCCCCTTTGCTTTTCAGACTGGACCTTGGAGCAGCCAGTAGAGCTCGACCAGAGGATCTCAGACTAGTTCATAAGGGGTTAAAAGCTCAGAAATATAGAACGGGGTCAGCCGATGTTGGGCCTTCAAAGTAATTTAAAGAATCTGAAAATCAATCCTAAAAACTAACAGGCAGCTGGTGAAGGGATGCTACCTCCGGTCTTAACTAGTAGTTGTTAGAGTCAGTCGTCTCTGAACCAGTTCGATCTCCAGCTCCTGCAACAACATGTCTGATGTGTCCTTTTGCAAGACACTTAACCCCATGTTGCTCCTGCTGCTTGGGCGGCCTGTCAAAATAAATCAAAGGAGACTAGAAAAGCACTTTACAAGTTCATGTTTGTGTTTTCAAAGTTGCTAAAGAAGCAACGCTGAGACTGCAGTTATATTATTCCCCTGCCACAATGAAAAGTCACTTCTTCTTAAGCTATATCTTCACAAGCATTTTTGTTCTATTTTCAGGGCTGCTTTGAGAAAGTGGAGGAATGGATGGACGACAACAAGCACCTGCTGGTTACCATTGGCATGGTCATCTTGGTGGTGCAGGTACGAGGCTCAGTGATGAATATCTCCTTCTCTGTGTGCTCTGTGTGTCGACGTGCACTCTTTGCGTCTGCCTGTCTGGCAACATGTTAGAAAAGCGTGCACACTCAGTGGCCTCTGTGCCACCTTCGTCTGCCGGCAAAGTTATGAGGCCTGCGCTCGGTGGGCGTTCTGGGCACCCACACAACGTGAAAATATTGAAGTCACTGTTTTCTGAACCCTGATCCTGTCTGGGAGAATCAAAGCCACCTGGCTTTGTGCCAGCAGCCTGCAGCCATGTTATAGGAGCCATCAGAGCCGAGGAGAGAGAGACTGAATATAGATTCTCAGGTATAGTCTTAGATTAAAAGCACTGCAGGGAAGGCTGATGGATATTCCTCCTCAAAAGCTGCTTCTCATTTCGTCCTTATATTCTGCTTTACATCTATCTCTCTTGTCTTCCCAGAAGTTTTTCTACTTACTTAGAGGTTGTGTGTCCTCAGGGTGTCTTCACACTGAACAAAGCTGAGTTTAGTTTTTACCTTACACTTGCACAAATTTGACTCCATATGGGTTTTATATTTGGTTTTCATTTGCAAACGGACGCTCGAGCCACAAACTGTTCAGACGTCAGCTGTGTCAACGCAGCAACACTTTGCTGTGTGTCTGTGGCGTTCAGCCTTTTCCTGCAGTCTCTGCACTTTTGTGAGATGGAGTTATATGTGTGTCTATGTGTGACAGCCCTGTGATAGACGGGCAACCTGTTCAGATACCCGGCCTCCCGTCCCCATTAACAAACACCTGAAAGATGGAGGTGTTAATGGACAGACGCATCACATTCTGTCACAAAACTTGAATTTTAAACATTGATACAATAAGTTCCCAGACACCCAGTATTAGGTATATTCTTGTTCTTAAATATCCTAAATTGCATCCATAGCATCAGGCCGCCCCCACCAACAATCCCGAGGAACCCAGAAGACATGAGAGCTCAGGAGCTCCCAGGAAAATATGTAACTAAGATTTACAGATAGTGACATATCGAGAGGGAGAGAGGAGCTCTATGTGCCAGTTCCCCAGGTAGTCCAAGCCTATCGCAGCATAACTCTCTGCTTTGAATGAAATCTGACTGAAGACCTGAATTTTTTTTTAAAGCTTTTGATACTAAATGAATCAGAAATATTATTGTTTCAAAACTTGTGGTGTCGTAAAGTATCAAAACGTTTGATAACCTTACATTCTGCAATAAATCCCCCCTTCCAATGATCATACTTCTCCTCTAGCAGAGAGACAGATCTATTGTCTGTGTAACTCCCAGCTGAAGTCTTTCCAACCTTCAGGTATCACACCTAAACGTTCCCCACTTGTAAAAAGGGAGTTTTTCTGTTTAAATGTTTCGCGACGTGAACCGATTCTCTGGAGAATCTACAAAAGAAAAAGCTCTTAAAAGTTAATTCCCGTCCACAGCTGTCGTGCATATATTGGGAGTTGTCTGCACAGAGTAAAACAGCTGGTGGCTGTAATTCTCCCGTTGTGGGCCATTAAACTATTATAAAAGAATCAAGCCTAATGAGGCCGGGTTACATTTTAAACAAATGAAGATGATGCAGAAAATATGACATATAATTAAAGTTTCTTTATCTGTCTGCACCTAGCAGTTTTTTTTTACACTTCAGTTGAATGCTTCTGATACATTAGAAAGACTCTGCTTTTTGTTATGCACAATTTGAAAATGCCCCTAAAAAAATCTCAAGATGAAATCCGGCTGAAAACTCCTGCTTATGCAGCGTATCACCAACTGTACTTGTTATGCTTTCAACATCACCTCAAGCTCATGAGGGTCAAAGTCTCTCTAGTCTGCTAATCGATGAATCCATGGCTCAGTCAGAGCGAGGTGGCCTTCCTGTGAAAATCTCTGTGCTGAATGTTGTTGGGTTTTTCTGCACATTTCTAAACTCCTGAGGGGAAGAAGAGGTTTGTGCTTCTGAGGAGGTCCGCAGCATCACTGCGGGGAAGACAGCATTCAGTATGAGACGACACACCCCTCCTGCTATTCTAATTCTTCTCTCTATCTGTCTGACTCTCTCTCTCTACATGTCTGGTAATTCTTCTCCATGCACACAATGTGCACATATATAATACTGTCAAATTTGGCCCTGGTTTGGAGCCTGATAAAGTCTTCATACTGTGTGAAACCCTCCCTGGCACTCTGCTGACATTGACTTTAATGATCTCTATCCCTCTCTTTGCACCCACCCACCACACACACACACACACACACACACACACACCGGGCACACTCCTGTGGAGGAACAGACCTTGAGCTGTCAGATTAGGAGACTGGAAGGAAAGGTGTAGGACATGACAGGAGCGAGTATCTTGAAACCCAAAGAACTGTCTTATGAATGATTTAGACTAGCAGCATATATGACAGACTTTGGGAAAAAAGCTTATATATGTGTATCTTCACCCACAATAGTTTCAGAAATCTTGGCTGTATTTCTATATGCAGGCTGACTGAGCTTTGTAGAGTCATGTAGGAGCGTCTTCATGCTGTCTCGCTGAAGCTGAATGAGGCAGACAGCAAAAACTTTGAGCCACATGTAAATAATTGGGCCTCTTTTGAAGCGCTAAGACAGCTTTTCATTGGCTCTGGCTCCCCCCTCAGCTTGATGTTTACCTCAAATGGCACTTTGTGTTTTGATTGACAGCGGTTTAAGGTAGCGTTTCCTCTGAAGCAGCCTTTTGGAATTAGGTTTTGACAGAAACTAAAGGAGGAGAATCAGCAGCTTTCCCAGGCTAATCACATCCCTCAGGAATCCCCAGTGGAGGCTGTTTGCAGGAAGTCCACGCAGCCCTTTTTTTAAAAAGACGATGCAGCAAACAGTACTTTGCCGTTTCGCTGCCATCCGAACTTTGCCAGATAATGGTTTTAGGATCAGCCTTGTGACTGTGTTTGATGTAGAAGTATCAGCGGTAATGGAAACTTCAAAGAGATAGCTGGCTACTTTGATTCAGTGGCATCTCAATTTACGTCATTGACTAAATGCGTGTGCATGCTGTACATTTTTCCCCATCAGAAAAGGGTTCCTGAGCTCGTGTTTGAAGGCCATCTGAGAAAAAAAAGTGTGTGCAAAATGTTTCTCTTGCTTCACCACAGGATTTATTGTGCATCCAAACACACAGCAGCCCAAGGCATCAACATCAAACCAGACCACACAGAGACACACATATCATACTTAAACACACACCATACATGCAGACGTCCAATTCACCGTCTCCTCTTCTTCTTCTTCATCTTCCTCCGCAGCTCCTGGGCATGGCGTTCTCCATGACACTGTTCCATCACATCCACAGAACGGGGAAGAAGTACGACGCTTAGCCTTTAGGAGAAGGCACCCAATGGAGAGGAGCCCCACTGCCTGATGGGATAAGACTCTGATTTCAACATCCCTGCCCCCCCCTCCCCTCTCCTCACTTTACAATCTCTTTAGAGCATCCTTTGACCCCCCCCCCCACTTCCCCCTTTTCCTCGACCTTCTGTACCGATCCAGCTGTGTTCCCTCTCTGTTCTGCTCTCACCATTCATTCTGCCAAAGAGTTACACAACTGGAAGAGAAGGGACACCTGCTTTCCTTTTTTTTTGGCAAAGAAGAGAATCCCATTGGTTGTCACTCCTCTTGAGTACATTTCTATATTTTTTTTTGTTTCTTTTTGCTTGGACTAACACTTTGCTGGAATGGAAGAAGAGACATTTGAGAAGACTTTTACTAATGCCCCTCGCACCCGCTCAGAGGCACAGACAACCATGAAACTGATGAGAAGCTCCACCTGTTGTGGGATTTTCTCTCCTCTTGTTTATTGAAAAAAAAACAAGCCCCTCTTTTCACCTGTAAATGAAAGAAGTTCCAACATGGCATGCTAGTTTTCTACTTTACTGATTTACCGTCGTCGTCGACATGTCAGATGTCTTTATTTTATCTTGTTTATTTTTGTAACGTGTGTCAACGATGCTCCTGTGGAATTGAAGTGTGAACAGATCAGTGTAATGAGCTCTCCAACACGCAGGAGGTGGGGGGGGGGGTTGACGGGACGATGCTGCAGAGGGGATACACACACGTTTAGGTAGTGTTTAACGTTTCATGTTTTTTTCATTTGGCTGCAAAGATTTGGGGAAAGAGGGGACGATTTCAGCACATGAGAAATCATTTTATAATATATGATTTATTTTATAACAACTTCTGCAGTTCCCTCTGAATAATAAATTGCAATGCCTGTGAACACACACACACACACTCACACACACACACTCTGTTCTGTACACAGCAGCAGCATTCCCTTTCCCTGCGAGACAAAACAAATGGATAAAATGGATGTTTATTAGGACTCCACCAGGGCTGTCAAGTGAAGAGATGTGGGTGATGAAGATTCCCCCTTTGAGAAAACACACTGAATTGAGTGTGAGCGTGTATCTTTGTGGGTATGCCGTATCGCACTGTCCAAGCTGCAGAGGAAAGAAACATACGGCACATAGAGATACAGAGCATCAAGGGCAGAGGGGGCAAAAACAGAGCAGACATGTTGTCTCCCGGTTGCCATCAATTGTGTTAGCGGAGTCGGCTGGAGACTTTCTCTTTGTATTCTCCAGCTCTCATCCGTTTGTTCTGCCCTCCTCATTCTTTCCCTCTCGGGCTGTCAAACTCCCCCAGCTTTTTCACCCCCAATTTTCTTTCCAAACGTCAGAAAGCAAAGAGCTTTATATGCTCCGTATGTACACACAGCTCCTCTGCAGACATTCCTGTTCATCACACAGTTACTCCTCAGGTATGCAACTTCACTGGTTTTATGTTTGTTGCCTTTCTGTAGCCACAGAGGGATTGGGGAGATGGGGAGATGGGGAGGGGGAGGTGTGTGAAGGCAGATCAAAGCTGAGACAGATAGGTACGGCAATCCTGCCCTGAAGGACATGTCTGTTTACTAGAAGAATCAGGCTGCTTCCTTAAGATAGAAAATACCCCACATCTGCTGCGGTTCCCTCTAGTGCATCTGCTTTAGTCAACATATCTGACCGTATGTAAACGACTACCCCATTGTTCGAGGCTACATGGTTACATCTCAGTCCGGCGATCGGACAGGTTGTAAACCTGTAACAACCCAAAGCTGAGACGACAGGTCAAAACTGGAGCAGGAAGTCAGTCTGTAAACTGTGCTGGATGTTTTTTAACAGACACTTTCACTCAGCTTTGTATTCTCACCAAAATAACTCCAGATTGCTTTCTGATATCTCCAACTCAATTTGGCATGGTAACTAATTTCAATAATGCTAATGACATTGTGTTGGCGTTAGCTGTTTCCTGCACAGTGTGCACTCCTCTATCTGATGTAACAGTGTGATCGTGAGGAGGCGTTTGTGTCTTTCACAGCAATCAAAGAAAAGTGCTGATATGAAAAGCCCTGCATACCCACACAGGTGTTTTCAATCACTCTGGCTGATTAGTTCCGTTTATTGTGGGAATTAAGCGTACACATTTAGCTGTGTGTGTTGCATGAATTCAACTCTCAGAGTACAGATACTAAAAATAGAGCTGAGCAACAGGGAGTGATTTCAGTCAACATATATTTTCTGACTCTCAACCAAGCAGGCATCTTTGCCCTGATTGATTTTCAAATAAACTCACTGTGTACAGGACTAGACATCTAATTTGGTGAAACAAGATTGAGATGTGAGCCAGCATTTCTAGCCCCAAAGAACTAGACCTTGTTTCTCTTGCTTAATTCGATTTCGTTTTAGACATGCTGCAGTATTTCTAAAATTCTGCAAGATCTTCTTAAGCCATTTTCACACATGCACTCCTGGGGTGTCTCATGATGCAAGAGATGACGTAGAAAGAATAATTTTGCAAACAAAGCAACAGAGTCGGATGCCTTTGTATCAATGCTTCCTGTAGTTGGACACATTCACAATATCACCGAAATAACAGAAAAGAAAGTACTGGGACACCAAAAACATAATAAAGCAGCCTCATTATGTGCATGGAGAAACCACTGGACGTTTGTTTTACAGTCTATGGTCTACTAACGTCATCGCCCCCTCCCACCCCCTGACTTCACAGAGAGAGTTTACAAAGGGGCAAACAGCTCACCTCGAAAATGTCAGGACCTTTTCAGAAGTTATGTGCAAGCATTAGAGTATCACTTTTTCTACAGCTGATGGGAATGATGGCCATAAAGGAGGACAAGACCAACAAGTAGTAGTGAACTGGAAGTTCTTCAGCAGGAAATGGTAATTAGGTATTTGTTGGCTGCTGTTGGAAACAGAGCAGAGAAACCACTAGGGCCAGAGGAGGCTGTGTTAGAAGTTGTGCATTAAGTCATCCTAGATGGGAGGGTTTGCTTCCTTAGATAAATCTTTGGAACTGGATGTTCTGCTCCTACATAAGATAACAAATGACCCAGCGAGGAGGAGAAAAATGACCCACCCAGATTCAGTGTTTTGACACTGTTGCAGTCTGGCAGCCTGCACGCCTCAGAGTATCACCTGAAGTCATTCTTGACTTTTCTCTTATTGTTTCTAGAATGAGTTAATGTGAGAGTCACAGATTTAGGAAGAAGGGGGCATCGTGCATCAGGAAGCATCTGATTTGGTCTGTTATGTGCAGCAACCCTGCTGGCTGTGATTCACCGCCTGCCCCCATATGCTCCAACTCCTCTTGTTGTGTCCACGGGGGGAACATGACAGCTGCTGATGTACAGCGCAGGCACGAGCGGTCACATCTCTCCTGCTCGGCTGCCTCCACAAACTCTCTACACATCCTTTATTTAATGCCTCGCTCAGCCTGCGGACACCAGGCGCTACATTTACAGTAGCTGGCAGCACTGACACAGAAGAAATACAGCTGTGCTCTTTAGATGTTCTGCTGCTCAGGAGGCATATTCATACAATTTCTATAAATCAGACTGCGTTGTAACTCAGTGCAGCCCGACGAAAAAACCCAAAAATAAATATTGTTTCTTGTGCTGTTGCTTTGTCTCGCATGGGGTGGGGAATTGTTTGAACGCTGCTGTCACAGAATGGAGGGTAGTAAAAATAAAACAAAAGCATCGTCTGTCTCCAAAATCGGACGCCACGCTTCAGAGAGCCAGCCCTGCACACTCTGTGACTCTTTGCCCCCGACTGATCTGACTGTGCTGACAGTCTGAAATGTTCTGCTCCGAGTGAACTCCCTCTCAGTTCCGCCACTGTCACCTCGTTTTCATGCTTGTGTCAGAGAAAATGTTCCTTCATGTCTTCAGAAAGCCGGGATGAATGCCATTTTAACAAAAAACTGTTTTAATTATGTTATTTTTGTACATTGGTTATTGCCGTTTGTTTTTATACGATATACTGTTGTTTCCCCCCTTCCCCCCCTTCTTCTTGTAGGCTGTTTTTACTGGCTTTTCTTTTTCAGAGGCTCTTTGGAACTCATTGTGAGAACATGACATTATTAAACATTTGTTTCTGAGGGGATTAGTCTTTGAGATGTTCCCCTACTAGGTGCAAAAAATGCCTTTCTGTCTTAACGTTGCTACAGGCAGTTAAAGCAATTAAGTCAGAATTGAAAGGGGGGGGGAATTTGGCATAGTATCGAGTGAAGCAAACAAAAGACAAACTGCACGCTTGTCGTAGTGCTTCTCTGTATTAGGACCTAGTTGAATTAAAGGAGGGCGTGCTGGTTTAATCTGCAGTATTTCTCTTTTTCAAACTGCCAGTAGGAGGCCCTGTTTGTACTTGTAGTGCATGGTCTATTATTATGACACTGCACAACCCCATGTCACTACAGTCTCTCAGCCCTGGATGTAAATATGCTCATTTTACAAACTGATGTTTCTTACTCATTCTTTCACTTTGGCACATTTAAATGCCATTTTATATGACTGAAATTGCCTAACGACCCGAGCTCTCTTCGACTGTATCATCAAACCAAAGCTGTGTCCCGATTCAGGGCTGGAATTCTTCGAAGGAGCCAGCCTATCGTGGCGCGGGTCAAACGAAAATGAGACAGTCTGGCCTGTGAAGGACTTCCTGTTTGCGTTACCAGCTGTTGCCATCCAATCTTTTTCTTGCTAAGCCCCGCCCCTTTTCACCTAGCAACCATAGCAGCTGCACCAGAATTAGCTAACATAACCAACATCATGTGGCTTAACCTATCACTAATGATACTTTTTAAGGCCTCTTTCAACTTTAAACATTAGTACTGCTAGCTTTTTTGACTGATTTGAAACTAATAACTAAATTTTAAAAGCCTGGTTTACACTTCTGCGTTAAATCTAGGCCGTAGCATACGCTGTGGCTTCACTTAGCCTGACTTGCTCAACATTTCTGGTATCGCTGCTATTTTCTCAATTCTGCAGAAGAGAGAATGCTAGAAATAAGTAATGCAGTATCATCAACTGCTGCTCAATATTTATCAGCTCCAGCTCCGACATACGTAACATGCAAAGGTTTCTGTTGCCATGGTTTCCTGTACACAAACAAGCAGAGAATGAGGCGGAAACTGGTGATGTAACTAGCATAGAAATTGCAGTGCCAACTAGTGTTTGTAAGGTGGAGTACACAGAATTACCAATGCACAAGTATCAGCCATTACGACGTAGATTCAACGCAGAAGTATAAATCAGGCTTTAAAGCGTAACTTTCAACCATTGCGATTTGCATGCATTGATCTTGGGATATGTTGCACCACGAAGGATGCATCTTCAGTGAAAAGTAGGAAGCATTCATCGGCCACATTGGAAGGAGCCTCGACGCGCTGCTGTGACGCGATCAGTCTTCATATGCGCCCTTCGAAGGACCCTGGCCCTGAATTAGGACACATGCAGCTTGTGTTATCAATTCTCACGTTTGACAGATTTTCTGCCTCTGTTTTTTTTTTTTTTTTACAGTACAGGAAAAATGTAAATTTGATGTAAATTTGTGTTTTTGTCAGTTTTGTTCTATTTTATTTGACCACATTTACATCTTGTTTGTAGTAAGACACACTATGTTTGTTTTGGAAGGAGTATAACGTATCCCATCTAATCCAGGGAAGCTCTCCCAGTAAAGCACAGGAAATGGCAGAGGAAAGAGAATCTGCTTTCTCTGCAGTGAAGAATTTAGAGACTTAAAAATACTTTTATTTCTCCCTTCTTCTCTTTTTTTCGACACATTATTTCTGTAATTTCTGTAACCCCCGTGCTACAGCTGAATATCTGAGCAGTGGAAATGTATGCTCTACAAATGGTGTGTTTGATGTTGTGTTCTGCTGGATGGCAATATCTGATACCTGCCAGCCTTGTCCTGTGGAGTTTCTTCTGCTACATGTGAAAGCACTCTGAATATCTATACTAGGTGGTGCACTACCTTCTCTTTATTCTCTAAATCAACTATTTTTTAAATAAAGGAAAGAGTGTCACAAAATCCCACGGCACCGTACGCTCATTGCCTTTCATGTTTAATGACTGGATGCTCCTGATGTATTCCCTTTTCATGTCACTGTCAATTATATTGGTAGCATTTAAACACTGTTTGATGCTGAATTCTTTTAGGGGGGTTGGAAGGCAGGACTTGGAATGAAGATGAAGAGGAGCGGTGTCACTGCAGATCCCATGGTGTACTGTTTGAGAGAAAGTGGCACTGCCGCCTTAAAAATGGTCTGTTTTTTTTTTTTTTATAAAATAATAAAAGCTGAGGGAGCGTCGTCCTTCAGATGCTGAGATGAGCTAATGGTAGAAAAGAAGCCAAGCTGAGGGGTTTTTAAAGAACAAAAGGGAGCTGATGAAAGTGGAAACAAACGCCAATTTGTCTGGTTGTTCGGCAGCACAGCGAGAGCAGCAGAGTGTTTTTGTACCGAGTTTTATCCCCTTTTGAAACCTAATTGTTATCTGGCCCTTGTGTGCTAGCGAGTGGAGTTTATTGTGCCATTTCATCCTGGCTTTTTGTTTCGCATCACTGTTCCTTCTATGCAAAAAATAATTACCTAAATAAAGCCTTTGTAAAGACTATTTTGTATAAGTAACATGTCCTGAAATAAAGTGAACAGAAACAACATTGGATACCTTTTTTTCCCCCACTAATTGTTTTCTCAGCATTTCAAATTTGTCCCCAATCACCCCCAGCAGAACTCATTCCATCGACCTGAACACGAGGGGTTTTTTATTTGATGAGGATGTTCAGTTTGTCCTCACACAGCATTACTCGGCTCATAAATCTGCAGTGAAGGTGACAGGCAGGTTGGTTTGTGCTGCTATCTGTTCCCAATCTGTCGTGTTTCTCCGAGTGAACTCGCCCATCTTTTTACCGCATGGCGGCCGGGATATTTGGGTTTTGCTGTGCTGTGTTTGCGTGTGAAGTCACATCAAAAGAGTAACACTAAGACTGATGCAGGCTCACTGTACATCATATTGTTTGCTCCTCTTCTTTGCTCGTTCTTTTGAATCTCCTCCTTCATGAGTTTAGATTCTCATTGTTTCTAAAAATGCAGAAACAGTCTCTTACATTTTATTTTTGGATGTATGTAAAGGGTGGCTTTCTTTAAGGTAAAGTTTCGGCTTTATGGGAAGTTAACTTGTTTTAATTTCAACTTTATTGTCCCAAAGGAGAAGTTTGTTTAGGAGCAGGTGAAAACATGAAACATATAGAAAACTATCAGACTCAGACATTAGAAACATTATCAAAACATCAAATACCTAAATAAAGTAAATACAGGAAACCGAGATAACCTTCCTTCAAACCATCATAAAGGACGGACTCACAATCAGGACAGAAATAAAGCGCCAGCACCAGCCGGCAAATAAACAAACAAAAGATGTTTGCAAGGTTAGCTTTGTATATAAAACTCTAAACAAAGGGATCTACTTCCTCAGCTCAGATTTAAAACAACAAATTCTGCATACAAATGAAAACTAAAGTCACATTGTGATTTAATGGGGTTATTTGCCGGACTATTTCTCAGCTGGGCGTAGTTAAAAATTCAACACTTTGGTTGTTTTTGGCTAGCCGATGGGAACGGCTTGATGTTTTCTGCAGACATGAGGGTGTCAATGCTGATTAAAAATGGAATCAAATATTTTCTGTAAAATTTGCTTATTCTTTTTTTTTTCATCTAAAAAGTGGTCTGCCTCATATTTATCGGTGTCACAGTAGTATGAAATGCTGAGAGATTAATGTTTTTATCTATCTCAAGCCATGAAATGCACTGTCATGACTGCAATTTCAGCCACCATCATCACCATATGCACGTGACCTGACGCAATTGAAGACTCCCCCCCCTCCCCCAGTCATCGTGTATTGACACATAGCGTGGTGGGATATACTGCATAGCAACACGGAACAAAATGGCTCCACCATCAGGTCATAACCCTGCATTTAAAGGTCACATATTGTGCAAAATCCACTTCACCATGTTTGTCTAACACTAATATGTGTCCCTAGTCTGTCTACAAACCCCCCAATGATGAGAAAAGTCCATCCTCTCCATCTTATGCCTGCTCCACTTTTCAGAAAATGTGTGCTCAAACAGGTCGTTTGGAGATTTTCCCTTCATGACATCACAAAGGGCAGTAACCCCTCCCCCAGGTTGGTGACTCTCCCACAGCTAGGTGTTTGTTCTGCCCTCTGAGTCTGCCTTCTCACTGTAAACAATAGGACATGGAGTGAGAAAGACAGAGACAACCAAGCCCTTCCAGAGAGGGGGCGTGGTCAGACACAGCTCATTTACATTTAAAGGTACAGACACAGAAACAGCCTGTTCTGAGCAGGGCTGAAATAGAGGGGTTTATAGACATGATCAAATACAGGATCAGAGTGGATTTAGAACAAGAAACTTCACACACGTTTTGAGGAGCTCTTAGACTTATTTACACTGGTTGAAGAGGAGGAGGATATGTGACCTTTAAAAAATCACAGTTATACTGAAAAGTAAACCTTATGGAGACATTTGAAACGGCGAAAAAGTAAAAAAATAAAACTTGTTATTAGGAAACCAAATAAAGTATTTCCTCTAGCAAGGAGAGTTGGGAATACATTTCTGCCAGTGGGATTCTGTCAGTACATTTCTGCAAAAGTTAAAAGAGAGCTGGTAGTAATATGTTTGATGAACTCAACAGTCGTGTGATCTTTTTAAACTGCACTCTAGATAATCCCTGTCTGGTCAGTCTGACAGATGATCCACTCTGCCAGATGATTTGTCAATCGAGCCGTACATCTCAATCTCATTTCAGGAAAGGTGGAATGGCACGTTTGATTCTTGATTTATTTGAGTGGCGTTATGGTGAAGTTCAGCAAACCCCTTTAAAGCACAAATAGGAAAAACACAGCGGAAACATCAGCAACAAAACTGCACAATGTTGTTAAACTATTATATTGTCATGCTCTCGGAGATATAATTATCCTGTCTCTGTCCATTGTTTTTCCTTGCAGGAGGACAACTGTCTCTACAGCTTTCATTTATACACAGGAACAAAAGTCCTTCATGAGCAATAAACTTTAAATCAATTTGCAGTTTGCATGAAGGCCCATGATTCAGGGTCGCCAACTTATACTCAGAATACTATACTATAGTGTATAGTTTATACTATACTATACTGATACTCAGAAGCTTGTAGGCCTTTCGGCTGCAGTCAGCTGCAGATCTTTTCTGTGTAATCTGACCTGCCTGCCTGCATAGACAGTTCTGGGTCCTACCAGCATGGTGGGGCAACGTCACAGCCTCATTACCCCTTTTTTAGCCAGCCTCACACCCTGCAAACCGCACACGACCCCCCTCCATTCCAGGCCCACATGGCGGCTCAGTATCAGCGGGGTGGGGCTGGATGTACAAACGTGTTCTAGTATCGGGACTGTAAAAACCACAACAATGGACAGGAAACAAAATCTGAACCGAGCTGAGACGTTCTCCTTTGTCAACCCTTGGATCAGATATTTCCTCTTCTTCTTCAGCTTCTTATTTTGGGTGAGTAGTAGAGATGTTCTTTGTGTAACTCAGAGAAGCACTGACAAAAACACAGCTGTTATGTAGTCCCTGAACAACATATCTTAATATTTCTGAGCGTACAAATCTATCAGTGTGTTGAAGCTTTCTAAAAAGATAAAAGAAGTCAGATGCTGGAAAAAAGAGGGCACAAAAAGAGATTATAAATAATATATGAAGGGATATAACACGGATAGTATCCGGAGCTGCAAACAGCAGGAGCACTGCAGCCCCCCTGCTGCGACTATTTTAAGTTTACTACAGTTATATATAGACACTAACCATTGCTCATATGTCACTGTAGCAAATGTGGAGTGGCGAGGTCTTATAACATCAAAAAGTGCACTGACTCATACTTAACCGTGAAACCCCTGGCAACTAAGCATCATCGGGAGTCTGAATCTGAAAATTTCTGTAGGCTATATTTTCAGTCAAGAAAACAGTCGTTGAACATTTCGTGGGCTGCATTGTTTCACAACAGGGCTGCACATATTTTGGAGTGACTTACAAATGAGGGATACTTGACTCACACAGTATATGGAAAATCCAGTGTTTACATGGACAGGACAGCCGGCTCCTCCCCTTGTGTATAAAAGCTGTTTTTGTCGAGGACTAGAAGAAGAAGAAGAAGAACATACTCACTGATTATTTGGCTCATGTAAGCGTTTTTAGATCATGGTCATTCTGTGTCAACTTATAATCAAGCTACAAGCTAACTAAAGAGCGCTAACATTAGCATGCTAACCCAACATTGCAGGCCACAGGCAATTGCAGCTCGATCCAATGATAATTTTGTCCACTGCTAAACTTGCTAAATTACTCCATGAGAACGTGAGGAGAGGGGTTGGAGGTGTGTCGCTGGAGGAGGGCGGAGGATTCAGTGTGGAGGAGGTGGAGCAAAACAGAAGTTTGTTTTGGTTTCATGCTGGTGCTCAAGGGCGACATCTACTGGATCCAAAAATTCTTCCTTTAATCCCAAGAGCAAAGACAGGGACAGGGATTACAAATTAGCCATGACTAGTCACCTGTATTCACTTTGTATTTTACATGAGAAGCAATGTTCATTGCACGAGTCCCTGTTAAATAACAAAATAATTAGTATAATGTACATATTAATTAAAGAGATGGCTAAAGTTATGGGTATTTGGTTAAAATGGATAGCCAATAAGAGATGAATAAATAAAAGTGAGCGCATAAATGTGGTGAGAAAAAAGTTTGAATTAAGCCAAACGTACTGGATAAATGCTAAAAAAAAATAAAGACTTGGATCATACTAGTTGCTCTTACATGCAGTATAGCAAAAGGAAATAAAGGGATATAGATACAAATATGTATCAAATAATAAATAAAGCAATAAGTACCTAAAGCGCAAACTATCAAAGAAATAAGCTGCGTAGAAAAAGCGCAGTCTTAAAGAATTTAAACAACAAAAGAGACATTGCACATGCAGAGTATTGAACAGCTCAATGAAAACATGTTTATCCAGTAAAGCACAGGTGTGTTATTGAACACATTGTTGACCTGTGTTACGATGTTTAATCTTAAACAACTCCCTTTTTAAATGAACTCATATGCACATCTTTGGACAGTGATGTAAAGAGGGTTCATCTGACGGAGCTGTGGGGGGTTCACTGATTTCAAAATAATAATAACCCTGCTTACTGTAGAGACAGGACACAAATGTGTCTGTTAGAGAAGTAATAAGGTATATAGGAGACATGACGAAACCATTAACTCGTCCGTACACAGATGCACAAAGTCGGGGAAAGTCTCTGTCTGACTCCCTCACTCTCCTCCACATCACTACGGAAAAACAGGGATCACATCAGAGCTTTACAGAGACACTTCACCTCCATGACATCCGTGTTCATCCAATCCTATACAAACACAGCAGGGGGGGGGCAAACACTGTACCACACACTCTCTGTGTTTAGGGCCAATCAGCAATAACCTCAGCCCCGGCAGCCTGGCCCGTGTTGACTTTGTTTATCAGACGCGAGCTCAGAAGTGAACACTGCAGCCCTAATCCATCAGGTCTTTGTCCCCGCGTCCCCATGGCTCAGTTCAGCTGGCTTTCACCTCGGCGCACAATCCTCCGGGAGAAGCCTGATTCATCCCTTTGAAAAGCCTGAAAACAGAGCGGGAGTATATTGGCTGCATGTGTGTCTGTGTGTGTGTGTGTGTGTGTGTGTGTGTGTGTGTGTGTGTGTGTGTGTGTGTGTGTGTGTGTGTCTGTTTGTGTGTGTGTGCCTCCTGTTGCACATGCACACTGTCACTCTATTCACTAAAGCACACACACACACACACACACACTCTGGCAGAGTTGCAGGTAAACACAACAGAGAATATCCTTAAAAATACAGAATTACTAACAGCTTTCGAAAATCTTTAAAAGAAAGTGCATCTTAAAGAAATTCTCGGCATCAGCGCCTCTTGTGTTCTGTCGGCTTTTTTCTTGTCCAGGTTATTGATTCAAAAAATGAGAGGGAGATAAAAACTACTATTTACTTCTCTGGAGCACACAAAACAATTGGGCTAGACGTGAAAACTGCAGAATAAAAAACAACACCTCTCTCACATCAAATGATGCTGCAGAGCATACATGCTGTTGACCTCCAGAGATCCAACACAGAAATAAAACAAAGCCATCTTCATGCAGAGAGAACAAAAGGCATTCTGTGCACAAGCATGACACACACACAATTAGTAATCAGGAGACTATCTGTGAATCTGGAGGCTGGAAATGAAAGCCAGGCCACGCAGATTGTTATTCAAGGTGAGAAAAACAATCACGAAAGCAGGGAAATTAGTGTTGACAGTGCAATCAACAGGACGCTCTAATTCCACCTATTTGCCTGCCCTCCTGGCTGTTTTATTATGTAGCTTCTGTCAGACTTAACTCCCATCCTCAGCAGCTTTACAACACATCCTCCAGCGACACAATCACTCACAGCACACACACACACACACACACACACACACACACGCGCACATCGTTTTCTGTGTCTGGGAGTCGTCACTGTTTGGAGAGATTATTAAATGAGGGATTCTTGCCTTCACATCCTCTGCATGCACAGTGTGGGCTGCCAACGCCTCTTTTGTGTTCGATATTTTACACAGTCAGAGCTTCTTTTTTTACGCCGCTGTGATGTTTTGGTACTTTTTATTTTAAGAAAAGCAGAGAGCAGGTCTAAGACAAATGTGTGTCCTTGCCGTTTCACTCTCTGTGTCGCCATTAGCAGTAATGGCGTCTTTTATGGGTCTTTAAAACACGGCTTGAGAACACTAGGTTGGATAATTACCTTTATTTTATAGTCAAGGTCAAGTTCTACATCACAGAAATGTTCAGAAATACTCGAGAGAGCTGTGAATTCTGAGAACTCGTCTTAGAGAATACAGGTGGACCGACTTTGTCTGAAAGAAATCTGATGTGACTAAAGCTGAGAACCTTCTGTCTTTTTTTTTTTTTTTATATATCTGCTGCTGACATCCATCTGTGAGTTTGTTTTTAAAAACATCAACTGGCTCTGTTGCCAAGGCTACAGGCTCTGAACATACTGAGCACCTAAGGAAAGGCTAACCGTCATTAATTTCATCACACCTGTCCTGTTTGAGAGGGTTTTAACACGCAGCCATGCAAAGAAAAATGTACAAACTTTGCAACACGTTTTCACACCTTGAAGCAAGAAATAAACAAAGATTTTAACATCAATAGGCATTTTCAAGCTTTTGCATCAGCCGATTAAGACAAAAAAAAGCCTGTGAATGTTCTCCTTGATCCTGAATTCTTACCCAGTTTCAGAGGAATAGATGTACATTTTGGAAATGGTGTTTGTTCCGTTGTTAAGAGTCAAAGATTGATTCCACTTGACGTGTCTAAACTCTAATTGTGAAGCTAAAAACAGGAGCTTAAGTAAGATAAAAGGTGCAGGGGGAAGCTGGTATCCAATTAGCGCGCAGATTTGAACAGATTAGCTTTTGTTTAGCTTAAACAAATACGACTAAACTCTAACCCTAACCCTATTGAGCTTAAGAGGTGCTGGAATAGCATTTTTGACTTTGGACAGGTTTGCTATGTAACAACCATGTTGTTATAGACATGAGGTTGCATTGAGTCCTCTAATCTAAAGCTCTGCAAGGTGCATTTCAAAGAAGTGCAAAACCAGGCATTAAACCATGTCAAACCATCACCAAAGCATGTTTGGTCTTCCATCAGAGTTGTAGCTCAGTTGGCGCCCCATGTCCAGAGGCCACAGTCCACAACACTCTGGTCGCAGGTTTGACACCCTATCTGGACAAAAGCGCCATTGGTCCAGAAGCGGACCTCAGATCATGCTTTGAAGTGTGGGCTCGTGCTCGCATGGGTTAGAGAGCGAGCAGGGAGACAGAGGCGTGTGATAGGTTCATCAGATTGGTACCTCATGGCAGACATTGGTGGAAGTTTTTACAGGCTTACAACTGATACAGATGACAGATTTTCTTAGTTCCTTATTCAGAGCACATGAGTTATAAATCTCTGTCAGGACCTAAAGACAATTTCAACCAACATCATGAAAAGTGTATCTGGAGAAAATAACCAACCCTGCCTTTAAATTAAAAAGTAGTTTCTAATGTGTGGGAGAAAGTGATTTACAAGATGATTTGGGCCAACACTGCAACAAAATTAAATCTAAGCAAGTATATTTGTCAAATGCTGTTTTTTATAAGTTTTTTTGGGGGGGCCTTTTTGCCTTTATTAGATAGAACAGTTTAAGAGAGACAGGAAATGTTGGGAGGAGAGCGTGGTGAATGACATGCAACAAAGGGCAGAGGTCAGATGTGTACCCATGGGCGCTGCCATGAGGACTACAGCCTCCATACATGGGGCAGGCGACATAACAACTAGGCTATTTGCGCCTAGACCTCACGAGTCCAGATAAAAATCAATATTTCAAGATATCGAAAGCTACAAATAAGGCATGGTCTACCTAATTAATGTAGGTACATCTCAGTTGAAGATGTTCAAAGACTACAGCTTGTCCCGATGGCAGATTTTTACCGCCCTTACTTTTTGCTTTTTATATCACGAAATAAGACGTCTATCTGGATTTGTCAAGTAAATCTGCAGCGTAAAAGTATGATGAATTATATTTGACAAAAATGTTAACATCTACCCTTTGTTAGATTTGACTTTCTGTAGTGTAGTCAGGAGTGTTGTTTGCATCTAACTGTTTATGAGGTGATGAAATAGCCAAATCAATGTTTTTTAAGGGTGTCTCATTTTTTGTTTGATGATGTTCTTAATGCTCTGCCTCTGCACGTGTTTAAAGCACTTTGGAGTTTGGACTCTCTGTGTGAATCATGCTTTTTAAATAAGCTTGCCTTGTTGTGGTTTAACTTTGTCTAATTTCCTCCTTTAACAGGTTTTCTCTTTGTTAATCGTCGCGATGGGGGTGTATGCAAAGGTCCAGAAGGCTACAGGTAAATGCACATCTGAGAATGCATCAAGACATTTTCTCTTTTCAGACTAAAAATCATCCATTTCTCCCTGTAAAAAAACTATAGAGAGAGTGAATTTCTTCACAAACAGTTTGAGGTCTTTCAGGCTGTTCCACTGGTCTTGTTTAGCGTCTCACCTGATCAGCTTGTCATGCTTTGTAGGTTGACAACTTTTTGCTTTATCCTTACTTAACCCAGGCCAGCATTTTCAGGTTTAATTTGTAATATAGTGTGGATGGATTAAAAAGGGGATTAACCTGAGCTCATCCCACTGATTACGCTCTTGTATCCTGTCTGATCCGCAAAGGGTCATCGATATTTAGGAGAATAAAGGCAGCCGCTGTGGAAAGGCAAAAACAGGGCGAGGGAGGGGAAATGAGTTTTGAATCAAGGTTAGACAGGAGGGCAGAAAAAATAATGAAAATAATGACAGGGAGGAGATGAGATAAAGGTAGAATAGAGGAGGACAGATGTCTAAACAGGCTTGCTGTGTTCCTGTTTCTGTGCCAGACACGGTGCGGGACACGTTCCTGATCGACCCGGCTGTCATCCTAATTGTGGTGGGGGTGGTCATGTTCTTCATCACTTTCTGTGGCTGCATCGGAGCCCTCCGAGAGAACATTCGCCTCCTCAAGACAGTAATAGACACAACAGACACATTACTAACGCTGGCACTGTGTTTGCTTACGACACGGTAGCTCGAATGACAAAAGCCAAAGTTTTACATCTCATGTGATGACAAAACTGACTGTCATGACTCTGTCTTAGTCAGACGATGTTTTAACATTCTGATATCTCTCGCTCTAGTTCTCCTTCAGCCTGACATTGGTCTTCCTCACCCAGCTGGCCATAGCCATTCTGGGTTTCTTCTACTCGGATCAGGTACGTGTTTCTGTACTGACATTGCTGCTCACAGGATGATTTATCATTTCATAGAAAGTGACTGTAAAGGTCACATTTGGTCTGCAGCTCTCTTCCACAGTGACACCTACTTCCACCATGCATGTCCCCTTAGCTCCATTGATTTAGTGTACTTTCTTTCAGCTTTTGGACATTCTGTGCATTTGTAAATGACAGTGTCTAAAAGTTAATAAGGCATTGAATCCACAGAAGGGTCCAGTGAGCTCGTAGGGGGAATGTGCTGTCATTGTGTGAGCCAAACAGCACACTCAGCAAGCAGTACACACACACACACGCACACACGCACGCACGCACGCACGCACGCACGCACGCACACACGCACACACGCACACACGCACACACGCACACACGCACACACGCACACACGCACACACACACACACACACACCACCAAACACTCAGCTTAGGTGAACACTTTATTTTGGGATTTCACCTTGCCATCAGATAGATCTTTTTCCATGCATGGCCCTGTATTCTTTCACACGCTGAACGCAGTATTAAAGACGCAGTTCCATTAATCTGGTTAAGAAATGTAAGACGAAGACAGATTTTAAAATGTAAAGACTAGAGCACGCGCCCATGTATTGAGGCTAGGGTACTGAGTCTTCCAAGCGGGTGGCCCAGGTTCAAATCCGGCCTGTGGCTCCTTTCTCGCATGTCATTCCCTACTCTCTCTCTCCCTGATTTCCAACTCTATCCACTGTCCTAGCTCTCCATTTAAAGGCACAAAAATCCTAAATATAAATCTTTTTTTGTTTTTAAATGTAAAGACACCATCTCGTCTGACTTTGACTAACCGTCATCACTGTTGCTTAATATGCACTCAGTGTTTTATGTAAACTTCTCCAAAACATGTTGTTTTCTGAGTTGCTTCTGGCAGTTATTAGGATTGTCCAGCATTTGTGTCCGCTGAATCTGTGCAAACGAGTCAAAAGACGCTGTCTAATTCCCAAAACAAATGCAAAGGGTTAAATGCACCCCTTACTGCCCTGCAGAGCAAACAGCATCTCTGTGATCTGGTGCTTTTAGAGCACATTTCTATGAGCCATCATGCTGTCATTTGAGGAGAAACTCCCCCCTTTCTAAGCAAATCAACTTAATTTGAAAAAAACATCTAATTCCCAAACACCAGCGCTAACAGCCACTCACAGAGTGATAAATAACGTCTGCTGAGAGTTACTGCATCACAGTATTTATGAGATGTCATGTGCAGACCATCCAGTGATAATAAAAAAAAAATCTATTTAATTTTTTTTTTTAATTCAAAATATTTTTTGAATTAGTACATAAATCAAGATCTACTCCAGTCATCTGTGAGACTGGCTGAATTTCATGCGGCTCCATTTGGCATTCTACTAAGTTAAAGTGCTAGCCTTAGTGCTTAGCAGGGAGTGACTGATTAGCCCAAAAATAAATAAATACATTTTTGGCAGTTATGAATGTATTTAAAATCTCAGAAGATAAGAATCTCAATTTTTACAAAAAAAAAATTTCCCACCTCTATCTGGCCTTAAAGTAAACTTGAAAATGTTTCATCTTCTCTCCTACCTCATCATCTCTTCGTGGATAAAGTTGTGCTCCATCAGCATGAGAGTGCAGCTCTGTGTAGACTAATTGTGCAGATCGCTTCTCTCCACATTCAGGCGCAAAACAAGAACATGAGCGCTGTAGGCTTTGTGTGTTAGATCTTGAGACGGAGCAGGGAGCTGAAGCAAATGATGCACAAATGTTGGAGCTATCAGTTGCCCTAATCTATTCTGATTGAAGCAGGCCCTTAAATTTTAGACTTTATTGTCTCAATGGGGAAATATTTTTTCACAGCACCATTACTGTCCAAACAGACCATTCCCCCCAAAAAACATACACACACAAAAAATTGCTCTGTACCTCAGTCCTGAGGGAAGTGAGGTGAGGTGATGTCCTGTGCCCTGAGAGTATTTGTTTTGGAAAAGTTCACATAAGGGAGGCAGTGGGTGCCGGCATCTGTATGACAACAGGTAACCCCCTCATTGAGAACACTAACGTACACACATCTGAGCTGGGTTTATGACCCTGGTGACTGATTTGGGGGTTACAGTAAAGGGAACAATCCCCCCCCTCTAACATCCACTTATCTCCTACAGTAACATCCCATTAGAACTCTGCTGGGAATAAAAGCACAACAGCCTGGCCTCAGCGTGTCTGGTGGCGAGCTGCCTGGTGTCTGATGATACCTCTCCTCTCCCTTGTGTTCTCTGTCAGCGCTCGGACTGCCTGCTGCTAAACCAAGCAGTTTAACATCCTGCTCAGCATCCTTCCTCGCTAAATGATTCAAATGCTCCGGCACTTCAAAGTGGAACCAAATGTTCCATTTCAACAGATCCCTTGAAGGAGACTCTGCCGCTAATGACGTGACGAGGTGTGACGGTGGGCTTCTGAGGCCCACCAGCGTACTGCACCACGTGATTAAACAGAAGCAGATGGAAGGGTGGAACATGAAACACAGTTTAGCTAAATACTCCAGGAGAAAGTTTTGGGGCTATTTTGACACCACTCACAGGATTTATCAATATAACAGCGCTCTAACACGGGTTATAACAGGAACAATCCAGAAAGCCTTCAGCAAAGCCCTCACTAAAGTTCATCTGAAGCTGAATGAAATTTTAAAGTTCAGCAGCTTATTAGCATCCAGTGCTCCTATTAGCATAAATTACAGCTGAACTCCGAGTCTGTGTAACCATGGCCCTTTCTTGTTTTGAGAGTCTTAAGGATGGAGATTTGCATTAAATACCTTTTCAGACACTAATTATATGAGAGAATAGAAGAAATTAAATATTAGCAATGCAAAACCTCATTAATACCCCGGAGGAGAATGCACTACGGAGGACACAGAAGCTACAAATATAAAGCAGCACCCACTTTTAATGTTTGAATCAACCTCATTAAATTTGGAATCATCATTACAGATCATTCCAACAAATCAATATCATCCAATTATTTTTCATCTGGCTTTTTGTTGACTCAGCAGCGGATGAAAATGACCACATTATAATAAAAAACGGATAAGTTCGCACAGTTATCTAGTGCAGCTGAAATTGGCATAAAACTTGTGTGTGTGCTCTTCATTCGGCATGCATCCTGTGTATCAATCATGGAGGCATGAATGGTTTTGTTGTTATTGTCATGCTGCACTCCTGCAGCAAAGCCGGACCTGCCTCCGCTGATGCTGCTGCTGTCTCGTTGAAATACATCCCACTGGATGCTCATATGATGCAAACATTTTATGTGTGCCCCTCTGACATTTAACATTATTTATGTCTATATGGACGGGTACATAGAATATGTTAAGAGGTGGGTGCTGCATATCAAAGCTGGAGTATGTCTCTAGATGGCCCTTTAATAATAAAAAAATACATTCGCAGTGCAGTGCAAAAATATGCTCTGAAATAATGTTTATGCAGATCAGCATTAAAGGAACGGTAAAAGTCAAAGACGTACAGAGAATGTGTCCCAATGGACCAAGAATAAAAAGCCTGATTATTCTTGTGAACTGGTTTTATTTCCAGAGAGTCTGTATGGAGTCTGTATGGAAGCCCTGTGATAATGAGTACATTTCTGTTTTCTTGAAATTTCAACGTATTGATCTCAGGATAACGACGCTGGTTTCCAAGTGATGACGAGCTCATCTGAGCCGTCTTCTGGAGAAATGAAGTCGTCATCACAGGAGCAGCAGTGTTCTCATCGCCACATAATGAGATGAATATGTTTTCTCCTCGCATACGGGAACAAACATCCATGTATTTTATTTGATGTAGTTTTCCCTTCGTATCAAGTAGATGTCTGTTGCGGTGCTGCAGTACTCGTCTCACTTTTTTAATTTTTTTTTTTTAATTTTGGGGCTTTTTGTAGAGATAGGACAGTGGATAGAGCTGGAAATCAGGGAGAGAGTAGGGAATGACATGCGGGGAAAGGAGACACAGGCTGGATTTGACCCTGGGCCGCCCGCTTGGAGGACCACAGCCTCCATACATGGGGCACCCGCACTAACCACTGCACCACCAGCGCCCCTCGTCTCTCTTTTTGAAGGTCTCGGTCTCGGAATCAGAAGCATTTTGTCTCGGTCTTGTCTCGGTCTCACATTGGGTTGGACTCCGGATTTTTCGGAAATCAAGACCAGTCAAGACCACCACTAGGATGTTTTTTTTTTTATCCCTCAGTTACGGCCGCAACCTTACCGGTGTTACAGTCTAAGTGAGTGGCACGCCCCCTGCACACAAGATGGTGACATTTCGGTGACATTTCTGGTCTTGGTCTCGTCTCGCCCAACCTTGGTTTTGGTCTCGATCCCTAAATGTCCTGGTCTCAGAGCACTCAGGTCTCTGGTGTGTCTTGGTCTCGGGTCACTGTGGACTTGACTACGACACTAGTCGGTTGTTTCCTTGAAATCTCTGCTTATTTATCTCATGATAACAATGCTGGTCAGCCAACTAAAACAAGTTAATTTTAGACATTTCCTCGAGAAATAATCGAACATATATTACATCTATATAGCTTATTTTACTTAGTTTTCTCTTTGATAATGTGCACATTTCGGTTGATTTTTTTTTAAATCTCAATTTATGTATCTTGTTATCTCAGGATTACGACGGCGCTTTTTCGTTGCTAACGAGTTAAATTAGAGAGAAAGTGTCAGGAAGTAACTCGTTATCTCAGGGGAACCAGCATTGTTATCCTGATATAACGAGATAAATAAGATAAACTAAATCTGGTCATGACAGGATAACAGCACCAGTGTTCCCGTGATAACAATTTATTTCTTGAGATGTCAAGAGGACGGCTGAAGTTAACGCGTCGATAAAGAAAAAACAGCGTTGCTATCCTGAGAGATTGAGAAATTGAGATTTAGAAAAAAAAATGACCTAAATGTACTCGTTGCTATGGCAAAACAGAGTAAAATAAAATGATCGATGCTGGTCCACTTGGGGCTTTCACAGCGTCTGAGCAAAAGTGATTTAAAAAAAATAAAAAAAATAAGCAATTTTCCCTTTATGCAGCTCGAGTAATTAACTGAGCCACACAACCTGAGAGGCTTCACCACGACACTGAGCACCACAGGAGCCCAGTAGAGACATTCATAGATAAGTTCACCTCGGGCAGCTTTAATTAAGCTATTAATATTTAAGAGATTTAATTTCTTTAGGATACGGCTTTGTTAATATAAAAGCTATTATTCTTTGTGTAACCTCCCCCGTGTCTCCTCTGCTAGACTCGCGATGCTTTGGGAAATTTTGTGAAGAAAGCCATCACGCACTACAGGGATGACCTGGATCTGCAGAACCTGATGGACTACATCCAGAAAGAGGTGCTGTGACCGCTGTAGAGAGGCTGTATGTGTGTATATTAGCTCTTTATGTCACACGAGTCTTCAAATTGATCCCAGTTAGTGGTTTATTGAATATGTCCAAGCATCAAACCAGGAAACCACAACCAGACACCACAGAGCCATCTGTTTATGTTGGTCTTAGTGAGTCTTTTCCATATGAGAGGTTACATGTAGCACACACTTCCTGTGCTCCGCGGCTCTCCTCAGGTGACATCCCTCTTCCACCTGCACACACTGGCACTGGCACGAGTGCGGGGTTTCCCACGGGAGAAGACCAGACTGGCAGGATGTACAGCGCAGAGCTCCAGTGCGTTTCTAAATATACACTTGTACTCGCTCTCTCTCTCTCCTCTCTCGCTTTTATCTCACTCAGTTCAAGTGTTGTGGGTGGAACAACTACACAGACTGGTCTTGGAACCTGTACTTTAATTGTACACACGAGAACCCCAGCTCTGAGCGCTGTGCCGTGCCCTACTCCTGCTGCACTCCTGTTCCTGGAGAGGTGAGAGCTCCCTATGGTAAAGACAGCATTAAAATAGAGCCCTTTGAGTCACTTTACACTACCCATACACAAATGCATGTAGTGATCGAGGATGCTTCTGTGGAAGTAACCAACCCGCACAGGATCTATTCTCTGTTAGTCATTCATGTACTCAACAAGCGGAAACTCACATCTTGAAAAATGAAGCCAATGTGGAAGTGAAAAATCCTGCAGTCTGTCGAGGGTCCGCTTGAAGCTGGCTCCAGGAGCCCCGGAAGTCACATACACACAACGGCCAAAAAAGCAGTTTTTACAGCATGAATAAACATGATTACAGCCTGGTATAAAAACTAAATAGGTCTGATTAGATATTGTCATCACTGGCTCTTCTGATTTTATGAATGATATGTCTTATCCATAGTTAGGCGCATAGCTGACATGATTGACAGGTGGGCGGAATGTAACGGTTTGTCAGGAGGCTTAAACCCGCCTCAGCTCCAGCTCTCAGCCTGTCGTTAGGTTGACTGAAAGTTAGACTGAGACAGGATTTCCAGCATGATGGCTGCTGCTGATGAGCCTCCAGAGCTCCCTGCAGGAACAGAAGGCTGACGTCACTCAGGCTTCATCCATTAATATTTCCAGTCTATGGTACACATTCATTCACTGATGTTACAGCCTGCAGGACTCAATAACTGCCACGTCTTTCTAAGGACACTATTACATCCGTAGAGATTAACTCAGGATCAAACAGCAGATTTCTGAGTACCGGGACGACCACTTATAACCTCTGCTGTGTAAACCAAGTAAAGCACGTTTCACTTGTGCGCGCCTGACATTTTGGAGGTAATTTCAGGTCCTCTGATATTTTCTAGAACTGCTTCAAACATGTGTCGGTCAGAGCAGGAGATAGTCAGTGTTGGACACCTTGATTTGGTGTGGACTTTTGGCTCGGGCGGCTGGCATGAAAGTCTGCAAAAGGTCAGGGGAAAGATTTGGCCGTTTGTGTTCACACTTGCAGCCCACTCAGACGATGTTGTGTTACCTTCAGGAGTGCATGTGTGAAAGGAGATTACTAAATTAACATTAATGAAAACTGCTGTAATTGAGCTGTAACTTTTTCACTGCTTCAAAGAGGACTTGAAGTGAAGGGAAGTTGAATACCAGTCAGCAGCATTTGTTAGAATTGAATGATGTTTTCAGGGGAATTCGGATTGAAAGGAACACACCAAAGAGAGTATTAAGTTTGAGTGTACAAACATGACTGAGTCAGTCAACGAGGACACAGTGTCTTTATGTTTGACATTGAGGGTTTGGAAGTGCACTTAAGAGTTTTCACCATTTATAGGCAAGGACAGTACACAACAACAAATGGTAAATTAACTTGTTTATTCTTTTCTAGTCACTGACTGATAAGTAAACTAACCTACCATATGACCTCCGCAACCAAAACAGCGATGCTACCTTCAACAGACCCAGTCTCTGTCAATGCATGTGGTGGTAGTGAACACCTACCCTACCACATGACCCCTTCTGGTCCCCACAGCTCCACCATGTAGACTGATGTGAAGTAAATGGCATGACATCACTGGGTTTTTCAAGTGTGAACCTCACTGTTGTTTCATCCAATTACTCCCACGACACCTCGGGGAGGCTGGACAGTGAGCTCCAACGTCACACATCCACCCCCCTTCATGCAAGCTCTCATCGCCCGCCATAACATCCCCATTACCTACCCTACCGCATGGCCATCACAGCCCAAACAGCATCTTCAACAGAGCCCACACTGTGTACATACAAAGCTCAGGGTATAGACCAAAATGCAACCAATTCTGATGCTGACATTACACATGACAAAGAACGGGAAAGAAAGAGGACGGGGGGGAGCCAGGGACATCTGCAAATGTCAACATGCTGATGTGCACCATCAACAGGAAAATAATAGCTTCTACCAGCAATTAGCTAGAACCTGGACATGGAGAGATAAAGTGCTGGTATTCAAATTGGACTGTTTCCACAAATAGAGAGACAAGTATGATAAGGGTAAGAGACTGGGGTCATTATCATAAAACACAGCAAACTAAATTGCACGTGAAAAAAAAAGAAACTGTTTTATATGGCGACTTTTGATGAGATCATGGCACTGAAGAAGCTGAGGATTTTCTGGCACAACTTCACCAACTACCAAGGTGCATGAAGAGTGAATGGCTTAGAAGAGGTCACAAAGCTCCAGGTCATCCAAACGACCCTGGTGAAGGCCACAAGTGTTGCTGGAGCTTTTTGACCTCCTATGAGATCATGGCAGCAATTCAAGTTTTTATCAGGTTACAGTCATAAAATTATAACATAAGAATAAATGCAAAAACGTGACCTGTGCAATGAAACTGTACTTCAGCGTCTGGTGAATATGACATCACTACTGAGTGACACACACATTGAGGAATTGAAAGCCCAGCTCTCTGAGATGGACTTAGAGGATCACAGATAGAGAGCAAAATTAAAGAAGACCTGGATAAACTGCCGGAAAAAATTCAAACGAGATCTTAACATGTAGAGCACTGGTGCTATTTATGACTCGGGTAAAAAAAAACACACACCCACACAGAACAGTCGATCTCCCCAGCACCAGTGAAGATGATGATAATGCCAAGAACACTGAGAACACAAATAACCATCTTTAAACAACCGAGGCATCTCAAGGGTCACTCACCCCAAGCTCTGATGGGTTGAAACTAATTAGACAGTAGACTTCTATGCAACGTTTTCTAATCAGTGAACGCCGACGTGTAGGCAGAATTTCTCGACGATGACAAACTGTATTTGCTTTGTTTTGACGTTGACTAAGTACACAAGTGTGTCAAAACTGCAGCGGCTATTTTTATCTCTGCCTGGAGGCAGCATCAACGTGTCTGCTTCTGCAGGTATAAAGTGCTGCTCGTATTACTTTCCTCTCCCCGGGGGGGCAAAGCGAGGGGTTGTGTGTGCGTGTGGACTGGTGTCATAATGACCAACCACTTTGTCCCTCGTGATGAAGGTTCAGCTTGTTTGTAAGATTGTTGGAGGACTTTGAGTATCTCCGTGAGGTGACTTGCATCTTTATTTAAAAAAAAAAAAAAAAGCCCAGAATTAAGGAATGAACGGGGAACGTTTCTAAAATTGAGCCAGACAAACTGCCCCAAAGTTCACGCTACCCAACAGAGATATAATGACCTTATCAAATAGTACACAGTGTTGCTATACAGACTGAGTAACAAAGTAATAAAGTAACATGAACCAATTTGTAAAAGTGCTGACGGTGGGGATTTACCTCTTTGAAAATGTAAGCTCCTTTCATGGAGGTTTTTTATTTTGTTTACATAATCAACCGCCACAGCTGCCTGAACATACAAAACAAATGAAATATATGCAGATACGTTTGCATGCAGGCACACAAACAGTATAAATGCAAATACTGTCACCGTGAATGAATATTACAGTGGCACTCTCCCACAGGAAGTCAAACTAAAATGCTTGTCTGTAGTCTCTCAGACGGAGCAGAGCAGCGTGCTAAGACAACTCCCTCTAGTTAGTGTGAAGACAGAGAGCTAAAGAGTACATGTAGATGCTTCACACTTGTATTGATTATATAAAATAGAGCACAGCAACCTTTTCTTCATGGCTGAAAAACAAATCAATTAATTAAACAGCAGAAGGGCTAATGCAGTGCTGCAACCTGCTGGTCAGAGGATGTAACTGCATGACTATTTTAGGGATTGAGGAGACTTTTTTTTTTTTGGTTACATCAAGAATAAGCTGTTGCTTTCTTATTTTCTTTTTCCTTCCAAGTCTCAACAGTCAACAGGCTTCCTCAGCTGTCACAATAACTTAAACATCTGTCACTGCAAAATAACAAAAATGATTTCAAATCCGCCTGTGACACATCTTCTGAATACTGACTGTGAGATTAAAGGTGTTCACTGGAGCTCTCATATGTTCTGTCTCTCTGTCGTGCAGTCAGTGATTAACACCATGTGCGGTTTCGGGGTTCAAACTCAGACCTTCCTGGAGGCAGACAAGTCGATCTACCCGATGGGCTGTGCAGACAGAGCAGTGATGTGGGTGGAGTCTCACCTGCTGTTGGTGGGGGCTCTCGCCCTGGGTCTGGCCTTACCTCAGGTAACCCACACATGCACCTTACTGAACACCAACAGGTCACCTCAGACAAAATGACTCGAGTCTTATTTAAAATCAGATCACACTCCAAAAAAGAAAGTCGATACCTGCATCAACCGGAGGCTGACCAGACTGAGTGTGTAGCAATCAACATATTGACGGTGGCGCTGCTCCCTCAAAAGACAGACCCACATGCTGCATTCGGATCGGACTGTGACATAGTCCAAGAGACACTGCATCAATCAGGAGCGTGCACCTTTCCTGAATGAACACACGTACAAACACCAACCTGAGAGCTCCCAGCTATTTCCTCGCACAAGTGCAGATAGTCTTCACATTGAAAGAAAGAAAAAAAAAAACTAATAAAGATGTTATTTTAAGAGAAACCAGCAGGGTGCAGGGTTAATGTGAGACCAGTGTGGTAGAACTGATTTAAAATGGAGGGTTATACCTAGACAGCAATAACTAGGCACAAAGGGATGATGAAATTTTAACTGCACATTATTCATTTATTACACTGTTCTCGTCTGAAAGTGCAGGTTAATGTGAAACTGAGATAGAGGTCTGCATGTGATGATGTAAGATTATGAGCCAAAGAAAAGAGGGTACTGATGGTATCCTCCCCCTCCCCCTCCCCCTCACCGAGCACCGAGGCACCACACACCTTAAAGTGCTGTTAATAACTGAAGTCAATATGTTACATTACCCATGAAGTCAAATTAGCACTCTTCAAAAAATGCCTCGGAATAATCAGACCGAACACTTATCAAAATGAGACAGGTACCGGCAGGCTGCATACGTTGTTACAACAGGATCTTAAGCCCCGTCTTCTCTCGCTCTCATATCTGCCTGATTGGGTCCCAAAAGATTCTGCTGAGGGGGGGGGGAAGCATGTGAATTACCCATGAGTCCTGTCAACACGATTGCATTTGTATCCTGGTTGCTTTGATGTGAAGTAAACCTGATGAAGTTCTCTTCTTCGTCTTGCACATCCGGACCAAAGTCTTTGACTCAATCTGACGGCTTAACGAGACAAATTTAAACAGAAGTGAAAAGTTATCTGAAGATGACTGAAGTGTGTGAGAAATACTTTATGATAGGCTTTAGAGGAACTGACTAAGTCTTGATCACAAGTAAAGAAGAGTCCAGAATGATTTACTGGACACAATCCAAGCAGTCTCATCTCAGAAACATTTCCTCCCTTTGCCAAATAAGTGTTCCAACACCCCACTGAGGGACCTTGTTCTGTCGGCACAGGCTTTTTTGTTCTGAAGAGTCTGTTCTGTGATGTTAAGGAACTTCTTCTTGTCCTCTAGATTGCAGGCATCGTGCTGTCCCAGATCCTGATCTCTCAGATCCAAGATGAGATCACCTCGGTGTTGTGAGAGTGGGCCCGACGAGGGGAAGAGGAGGAAAGAAAAGAGAACTCGCAGTTCTCTACTTTCGGCTCCTCTGACGTGCAAACGACATCTGTTTTACCGCTACTGTATCCCTGCAATGTTTCACCACATTTCTTCTTCTTGTGCTGCAGCCTCTAGGCATAATAGTGTGGTGCACTTTATTGTGTTACCTCAGTAGTCATCCCAAAGTGCAAAATGTATATTTATTAGATTTTTTTTTGTATTGAACTTGACAAGAAGTTTTCATTTCTTAAAGTATTTATTCTTAAATGTGAAGTTTGCTAATAAAACTCACACAAAGTGATGCTGCGTTACAATGATTGAGTGACAGATTTGTCAGCTGAAAGAACAAACACACAGACAATGTGTTATTAAGCATGCCACCTGGAAACGCAGGGTGAATAATGTCTCATAGCCTGGAGGAATGTGCAAATGTGTTACTTATGAAGCTTGACATGTTAGCAGTATAAAGGCCACTGAGCTCTCTACATTTGAAGAGTGCTGTGTTAAAAACATTCAGATGTGTTGACAGTGATAAGCTCCTGTTTTTTTTGCTCAAATAATCTCTTACAGCCTGACCCTGCCACTTCAGATTATAGTTTTCCTTCATGTTTTCTGAACGAGAGCCACCTTGCACACCTTGCTATCGGTCTAGTGCAGCGCCATGGCTCTCTGCATCAGACGAGTCGTCAGAGGGGATCCCGGCCTCACGGCATCACGCTCCACCAGAAGACATCTGCAGGAATTGAGCACAGCACAAGACAGTACAAAGAGATGAACACAGATTGAGAGAGACAAGCCAAGAGGCTGACCTGATCAATAATGAAAGCTGAACATGCTGTTCTGACGGAGACGTCTGTTACATAACCGGAGCAAACACTCCATATGCATGCTGAATAACAGCAATTCAACAAGCAGAGTGGACAGCAGCCCCCAAAAGGCAACCAGATGATATCATGATGAAATCCACAGCTTCAAATAGTGCAACATCGTCCTCGTTTCTCTCTTAATCTCTCAGCAGATTTCCACATTAAACATGGATGGAAGATTGAAGGGCAATGCTGAGTTTGGAAAAAAAAAGCCTGAAGCCTTCTGTTAGGCCTGAAATCCCTGTTGTGCATTACCTTCCCAGCTTCTTGTGGTGCTCATTCTCGGATTTCACGGCTGCATGAATAAGCAGTTGATTGAAGATGTCTCTCTGTAAACAACAATGGACAGAGCCGTTAGTAAACACAGACCTGCTGCAGCACTGTGTGGAGACTTTCTAACCTTTGGTGATAGACTGTATGCGCGAGGCTGCACCTCGGGGGAGCAGCCCTCTGAACACAGAGAACATGGATGTGCGAGGAGTCCATCAGAATCCATCACGTGTTTCATTATTCATACGTTGGAGCACCGGGGCTCCACGTTCTCACATGTTTATGCGTTGAGAGGCTTTTCTCGCCTCTTCACCTCTGGCCTGTTTTATAACAGCAGGGATTTTTTGTTTTACTCAGGAACAAAGTTTGATCAATGCTCTCCAAAATAAAGAGAGAAGAGCCTCAAGGTTGTTCTCGTTTCAGCTGAGCAAAAAAAGAACGGCTGTTTGGTTTGGATGGGATTGTGTTTCCCCTGTCTTGTTTACTCTGAGTTAACCATTTCTGAGCAGCTCACCTGTGCATCACTGCCTCCTATTTTCACGATGTTGTAGCGCAACGGGTACAGCAGCTCCACAGCGCGACTGTAGTTGCCATGGTCGTACTCCACCATGGCCTGACACACGGGTATGCCGACGGTATTAGCCATCTGATGTTGTTGGTTAACTCCTGGCTCTCTGCGGGGACATAAAGACATGACGTGTTACATCTGGAAGCAATCAAAACGAGTGTCGAGAAGGAAACCACATAAACGACTTTACTGTCCATGCACATAGGACGATGAAATAATCTGTGCATCTCTGAAACTAAAGAATAACGTTCACCTCGTGGCCAGATGCAATCAGCCTAACACATGCACATCTACAGAAACAATAGATTCAAAAGTATCAAGGAAACAAGTGCATCCAGTGCTGTCTTCATGTTGTAAATAAAATATAATCAATCAATCAAGTCATGCACACCAACAGCCCAACACTCATGGGTTCAACATTTGATAACATGACAAAGTAGCATGCTCCTTTCAAAGCTCAGTCTTACAAACTGTTTTCTGTCTTTCCTTGCTGGCTTTGAGTCGCTCTCTAACGCTAAAAGTTAAAGGTGATGTTTGTGAACGTAACTGTGCGCAGAGGGACCTTTCTCTTTTGGTGAAACTTTACTTAACACAGTCCTCTACGCTGTAACGATCCTTTACAAGCCTATAAGTTTTGGTTTACACCACATATCAACACCATTTCTCTCTGCACATAAAAAACATTTTAGTCTTCATCTCCTGAATATCTCAGAGTAACCGGTTTAAACAAAGAAATTATATATTATTCAAATTAAACACAGATTTCAACTTATTTTCTCAGAGATGGCAATTAAAGATCTGTTTAGTGAGTCTCTATAGGCATGTTATAGCAGAGTAAATATTATTGCATCTGAAAGAATACAAGCGCCTGAAATGAGTTTTACTCTGGAGCAGTGGTACTCAGACTTGTTAGACTTAAGAGCCACATTGACCAAAACATATTTCTGCAAGAGCCACAATCAAAAAACCTCTTTCTTTCCTAAAATATGTGTGGGGAACACAGTGACATGACATTTAAAGAATAATTTCTGCTGGCAATGTTTCCTTTTTTTTAATAATTACTTTGGATTTTTTTTTTTCCAAGTAGGACCTAAAAGAGCCACAACTAGTCCCAAATGAGCCACATGTGGCTCGTGAGCCTCAGGTTGAGTATCACTGCTCTGGATGATATCTGGGTATATGATATATATGGAGCCAGTTGAAGTGGTTTGGGCATCTCACCAGGATACCTCCTGGACGCCACCCATTGGAGGTTTTCCTGGCATGCCCAACTGGGAGGAGACCTCGGGGTAGACCCAGAGTTCCCTGGAGGGATTATATATCCCGGCTAGCCTGGGAACATTTGGGATCCCCCAGGAGGAGCGGGAAAACATTACTGAGGATAAGGTAGTCTGGGTTGATTTACTGCGCCTGCTGCCACCGCCACCCGACCTTGGATAAGCGGAGGAAAATGGATCGATGGATGGAAATATTTTTGCACTTATGACCCATTTTGTATTAAAGAGGTGCAAGGCAAAGGAAGTCTTATCCTGGATGTTTTTTATTTCTCAGCTATGTAAAAACTTAGTTTTACCAACGAGATAAGAAAAGCAAATGTTGAATATTTATTAATTCATCATTATTATTTGGAAATAATAATTTAACAGTAGCTGACCCTGAAAAAAGCCAATATATAATTCATTTTAATTAGAAGGATTTTATAAAAGCTGTGCAAACTTTAACTGAACAAGGAGGAGACTCCAGACAAAAGCTGACAGAAAACTTCAACAATATAAAACAAACTCTCATGTTCAATGACATGAATGATGCCAACATGACCATGCAGTGTCTGTGCTGTCCGAGTCTTCGTCTATGTCAGAGTCTTTTAGATTTTTAGGTATATTTAAGTGTCTTTATGTTACATATTTTCCTTTCTGTCACACTGCTTGGGGCAGGGAGAACAGCATTTCATCTTTTTCATGTCTGCAGAAAAATGAGAAAAATAACAAATAAATGGAATCCTGAAACATGTTGTTACAATAATTAGAAACACATTAATGTCTGCAGGATTTCACAACAGCCCAATCTGTGTGACTCTGTCTCGTTTGTCTGCTCACACCTCATCTAGTCTGCTAAACACCTTCATTCTTCACAGAGTACCCGGTATGTATAATGTATTCACACTGTGTACATCTGTAAACAACTAAATAGAATATAAATATTCACACAAACAGCTCGAGGTCCGTTCCTCTTGGTGAAGGTATTGGAGCATTATTAAAGCTGAACTATGAAGTGCTGTAACATCTAAGAATGATGCATGTTGCTGTAATGTTGATGTTAAATATCACTATGAGGAAATGTGGATTATGTGAAAAACCTCTTCAATCCTTCCAAGGCATAGAAAATAAACATGACACCGTGCTGTAAATGTCAGTGATGGAGCGGAGTAGCAGCAAACATGCCCACATGGACCGGCTGATGATTTCTAGGAGAGCGGTGCTGAATTTAAAGCAGCGGTTTGAAATGGCAGCTTAAATGGAGAGGCTGTCTGTGGTCACACACCGCAGAGCTCCAGAGAGGCGGCAGCTGCTGCTACATCTGCTGCAGTGTGAAGACCTCGGTGTCTGAGACGGACCGCAGCTCTAGAATTCTGAATCCTCTCTCTATCAGGCCTTCTTCCCACGCTCAGTCGTGTTTGTGTCTCACTTTTACATAAGGCCTGCGAGGCTCTTACGTAACGCTGGCAGAGGCGGGGTGCGCAGTGGAGTGGAGAAATGGTGGAGGAACTTACTTGGCCAATTCCTGGAGGCCCTCGAGAAGACGGCGAGAAGTCGCGCTCTCTTTGGCACCCAGCGACGCCATGAGGAAGTGGAAGTCGTTAAACAACGTCACATGGTCGTCGGTGTGAGGCTGCGTCACCTGGAGCAGCTCGCGCCAACGGTCCTTCACGCACACACCTGAAACATGACGCAACACAAACACACATATACTGCTTGAAGGCTGCAAAAAGTCCTTGAAATAACGAGAGGGTCTTTGTTGAGCATATTGTTAGAGAGTTAGTTTTCCCAGCATGCATATCACCTTGAGTGTCGGCTCAATGAGGTGTGATAACTGAGATTAGCTCACTTCATTAGCGCCCGCACTTAAAACCAAACTCTTGAATGAATCCAGTTTCAGTCACAATTTATCCAATTAGCAACACGCTAACAACTGTCCCACCTTCATTGTGCTCTTCAGTGAATTTAAAAGGTTGAAATCACTTCCTGTTTCACTAACACAGACAGTCGTTCCATTTCTTAGGCACAGTGTAAGATTAACCCTTTCATCCCCCTGGCTTACCCTCCATTTCCAGTCTGGAGAGCAATGAACAGGCATCGACGGTGTCCAACATGGATCCTGTGGCTTTACAGCGTCTGAATATCTGAAAGAAAAGGACAGGGAGGGATGTTCCATGTAACCGCCTTCATACAAAGACTTTTTAACGAGAAATGTTCCTGTCTTGCTGGATTCTCCTGACATGAGCTCTGAAACATTTATGAAACTGGGCCTCACTTCATGTAAGAATGTCTGTTGTGTTCAAACGTATGGCGGGGGTAAGTAAAAATATGAAATGTTAATGGAAGAAACAGCACAGGGAAGGGCTTTCCTTTAAAGCCGTCTTTTCCTATTTTTAGAGAGAATGAAATAGTCATCAGCTCTGGCAGCTGACACTGATCTGAGCCCTGACATGGATTTGACTTCCATTTGCAGGCACTTGCCTTCTTGACTCAAACACAGCACAACATATTGCTTTTAGTCTGCGTCCCCTGTGTACTGGCCCATGAAGGACTGTGTGTGTGTGTGTGTGTGTGTGTGTGTGTGTGTGTGTGTGTGTGTGTGTGTGTGTGTGTGTGTGTGTGTGTGTGTGTGTGTGTGTGTGTCAAACCTCTTACCACAAACATACCTGAGAATCGAATATATCCAGAGCGGCTTCGTATTGCTCCTGGGGGGAGGGGGGAGGGGAGAGGTGAGGGGGATGAATTTAAATAACTTCACACTTAAGACTTTAGGGAGGTTGATAGATTGTGTTGCACAGATTGCGAACACAAATTAATCTTGCAACATAATCAAGCCCAGACTTCAGATTACCCTGGGGAGAGGATATCATAAATACAAATTCCACAACAGTCCCACTGCAAACTATTCGCTTGACTGAGAAAACTCATTAGCGTCCTTACCTTCTCGATGAAGTACAACGCCCAGTGCCAATAGTTGTGACTGGCCAGCATGTCAGATTTCTGGAAGTTAACAATAAATATTTGATGTTTTTGTTTCCGAGCTCTATTGTCATGTCACTCGGTGGACTCTCATGTACAAACTGAACACGGTTGCTGAGATGAGATTTTGGAGAAAAACACAGTGCTGAGGAGCAGCCAAAGTTTTGTACCTGCCAGTCTTTCTCTCTGCTCTCCATGAACTTCAGGCCTTTCTCCACCTCGGCTCTCATCTCATAAACGTGCGCTACAGAGTGCACGGACCAGGCGTCTTCTGGAGCCAGAGCGAGACCCTGCACGGGAAAGTTTCACACTTTGAAGAGCAACACAGCGTTCCCCTTTGTTTTACAGGAGACACTTTAAAACACGTGTGATGTTACAATGTTGGATGTCCATACTGCACGTGGATCAACGTTTCATATCATGAGGTAAACATATGTGGCAGCAGTCCCAGGATCAGTCTGCGCTGAATGGTCTGCTCTGCAAACCAAGCCAGTACTGTCACAGAAATCTTTTACATAGGCTCTCAGCTCCAAGCATGAGTACTGCATTCTGCCCCAACAGAAGGCTTACAGAGCTGGCCAATCAGAAGAAAGTGGGCAATTTGGTAGGGGGGTCTTAATGAGACAGAGGCATGAATAGAGAGCTGAAAATCCTACAAAGCAACTCTATAAATAAAGTATCTAACGGTTCCACAGAGTGATATGATGAAAAGTGAAAATTTGTAAAATTCTCTTTTAAAGGAGCAATATGTAACTCTGACACCTAGTGTTTAAATTTGGTACTGCTGTCCAAAATCTAAACATTGTAGAGAGCTGTCTCCCCCCGCCCCCTCCTCTCTAGAGTCGATGGTCACACAGGTCACCATGTGGTGGACACTGAAGCTTCAGTGTTTATCCAGCTCTGCATGGGTCTGTAAACCTTTCTGTGTTCTAACCTCTCTCCATTTTTCAAAAGCATCTCCAATATTGATCCTAGGCCGCCTGTTTGGAGGACTACAGCCTCCATACATGGGGCGTGCACACCAACCACTGTGCCACCAGTGCCCCAGGACCTTCATTTTTATTGCCATGGTATCAGAAGAGGTCTTGATATCATTCGATTGTTATTAGAATTATATCAAAGCGTGGCAAAGTGACAACCCTGAAAACAGACGCAGTGAGTCTCTGCACTTCACTGCAGCAGAGTCCAATCACAGCTCAGAAATAATGCGGCACTGGATCCTTCAGAAACGATCTGTGGGTTTATGTCTGATGTGTTTTTCAAGTGACCCTCATCTCTCAAACACTTTGTAGGCATTACTCATTCAGCACAGAGGAGCCGTGCTGCTGAGCTCAGGGAGAGCTGCTTGTTATTAGCATTTGACTGCAAATTACTTGGCGAATTGAACTGACACAATCAGCGCAGGCACAGACAGTCTGGACCACACGGCTTCAATAATGACAACAGAGTGGAAGAAAGACTGTAATGGAGAATCAAAAAAAAAAAAAAAACACTCACCTCCATGGCTACTTTCTCAGCCTGGTCATACGCTTTAGTTTCCAGCAGACCAAATGAGTACATTCCTTTCAGATAGCTGGGAGCCAAAAAACACACACACACAAACAAAACTCTTATCACAAAACACAGCGTGGAAATAAATTAAACTCAAACACATTCTGTTTATTTGAGGTGATTAAAAGCAGACACGAGTGTTGTGCCTCCAGCATTAACAGCTCAGGGACATTAAGTGCTTTAAAGTGACCTCATCAACATCGACACACAGCAGAGTCAAACTTTTATAAAGTCCACAAGCTGAATCAAAGTGGTGGTGACTGCCTTTACATTATGGCTGTATGGGGATGTGTCCCTGTGCTAATGCTGTGAGAGTATACGGAGGAGTTGTTTCAGTAACACGGACAAAGGGTTAAAAAAAACATGATGTAGAGGAGGCATGAAAGGAAGGAACCACTGAGTCATCTCCATACTTTGGCTATGTGTCACTGAAAGGAAGATGTGCAAGAGAGCAATAATTGAGTCCCTTTGAGGTTATCAGGATGTGTGATTGCAGAGTGAAGCGCAGAATATCAACTGTATGATTGCATGGTTGCAGCTAAGAGTCTCTACTGAAACTCTCTCTACACAAAAAAATACAACGAGCATCTAAACGACCAAGTAAGGGAATCAACAAGGACATCAGTGTGGTCTACACCGTCTTCTTCTGTGACCTTGAGGATCCTTTTTACAAACTGAAGACTTTCCTGCAGACTTTTCTTTTTGTTATTCCTCAGGTTTTTTTTTGCTAACCTGAAACTAAAATATGATCAATACATCAGGAGGTAATGCACTTTCCTGTGCTTTCTTTAAATTTGCCTGATAATACTAGCTACTTCTGAAAGCATCTAGAGAATTTCAGGAGGACTGGGGGAGGGGGGGTCTCCTGAGGCAAGACAAGACGTAAAAAGAACGACAGTGAAGACAAGGACAAAGCAAGAGAGCCTGCTATATGAAGCTATTAGAATATTTGCCTTTATATCGCTGCTTTGAGTAGTTGGACATGTTCACAATATAAACAAAGGAGTGATGGGAACATACTGGAGAACAGGAAACGTCATGCAGCAGTTTAATAACGTGTAAGGAGATCGTAGCGGTGGCGTGCAGACAGTCTATGGTCGTGCAGCGATCACAGGGAATAAAGGTCATCACCCCCTCCCACTCGCTCCAGGTGAATTCTCCTGATTATATCCTGCTGTGTTCTCACATCAGCTCACTCTGACTTTCTGAAGAATAAATACGAGGAGGCTGGAGGAGAAACTCCGGGTGAAGTCAGAGTGAAACATGTGGCGGTTTTCTTTCACACTTCAGGAGTTTTGTGTGGGTGTGAAAAGACTACATGACTGCAAATATGTTTGCAGTTAAAGTCAGTTAGTAAAAAAAAATAAAAAAAAATAAAAAAGCATTGAGAAATCAACCAGGGTGACATTGCTAATAGTTACTATTTAACAAATGACATACAGACTTTGTCATGAGCTGATGTAATCGACGATGTTGTTCTGAAGTGTTCTCTTTTAAACCCTGAACTTGTATTCTCATGTTGTATAAATCTTCTGTCTGCACAACACATTGAGCGTCCTCACTCATGCACGGCCTGCTCCGACCTCAGCAGCGAGGAAGTGTGGACAATAGGAACGAGAGGAATACAAAGGAGAAATCCTTCCTGCATATTATGCCATCTCCTCTAGCCCATTTTTCTTAACGATGAGTAAGGTCTTCTAGCTGCTCTGTTGTAAAGCGTCTCGAGATAACACTTGTGGACTGAGGAAATGAAGGTGAATGAGAGACAAGAGAAGAAGGGCTTCAAAAGAACCGGAGGTGAGAATGAGCAAGAGAGCGAAGAGGGAAAAAATTAAAACCTGCAGAGAGAAGGAGATGAAACCAGGAAGAGGAGGAGAGATGAGGAGGGGTGAGAATGAAGTGAAGAGCAGAGAATGAAGGAAGAGCAGGAAGACCGGTGACAAGGAGAAGTGGAGAGGTTTTGGTTTTCAAAATACCTTTTATTTTACCACTACCAGGAGAAAATTATAACACTGTCACATCATCACTCAGATCAAGAGAAGGAAATAAATAAATAAAAAATAAAACATAAAACAAAACAAGTGCAACAAAAATCACAACATCAACAAAAACAACATTTACTGCATCAAAAATGAATAATCAGCTCTCCATCCCCACCCACAGAGCACAAAGCTTCTTCCACAGCCCATACACTATTAAAGTCTTGCACATTGTCCATCATTTGATAATAGGCAAATTCTACCTTTAGTCTGGCCTTCAAAAGTCCCTCCAGAACCAGCACCGGTTCCACACAGCCAGTACCCTGAGCTCGGTTCTTGCGTGTAAGCCAAATGGCCAACTTAGCGAGCCAGATAAAAAGTTCATCAGTGTATGTACAGTCTTTTTCTTTGCAGAATACTTTGGCCCAAAAACAAACACTGCATAAGAGAAATCCTCCCCGAGAGCTTCAAACAAGCTTTTCATAAGGACAAACAAGAGTGAGAGCCTGGGACACTCAACAAACAGATGAGACAAAGTTTCAGTTAGTGAACAAAACAAACACTCCTCTCCCACCCCTGGATCAATGTGCGCTCTGTATCTGTTCGTGGCTATAACCCCATGCACAACTCTCCACTGGAGATCTGCTGTTCTCTTCTCAACAGGCAGCTTGTACAGGGACCGCCAGCTGCCTTTCGGGGAAACCTCCGGGCCAAAAAACTCGATCCACCTCGACTCTTTCACTCCCGACAGACCACGAAGATGTAGGACCTTAACACAGGACTGATAGAGTGCCTTTTTCCCTGCATCCTGGAACTTTCCCAGAACAGGAGTACTAAAGGACAGCAGTCCACCTCCTCTTTCCTGCCACTCCCCGACATCTGGGGTAACAGACAAAGATGGGAAGCTGTATTCGCCCTCTTCACTCCACTGCTCACACAGATTCTCAATGTTTAGAAATGTCACAAGTTTTACTGGAAGTGCAGCAAAGACTTCCTCCACCACTCTTTCAACCACCCGGCTGGAGGTGATATTGGTCCTTTCTTTGAGGGCGTCCAGGGTCAGTCTTACCAGGTGACCCAGTTTTGTGCAGCCTGCCTCTCTGAAACTGGCCCGGAGACTGGCTGACTGCAAAGTTGGAGTCCTTATAAAATCATTAAAAAATAACGGTTCCTCAAAGATCCACATTCCCAGACTCTCAGTTTTTTCCCTTTTGAATGTGTACATTTTCCATGCCTGCATTACAGACATATAAAAGGATGTTAATCCAGTGAGATCCACCTCCTCAAGCTTTAACAGAAAGAGCTGCTTAGTGTACCCCAGCCGTCCAGCTCTCCTCAGCAGCAGTCGAGCGATGTCCATCCAGCTGGGACCACAAGTGAAAAGGAGTCTCTGTGCAGTCTGGAGTCTGAATGAGGCAATTTTTGACTGAATGTCTATAAGTCCATGTCCCCCTTCAGCCACCGGCAGGTAGAGGACTGCCGCCTGGACCCAGTGTTTGCCTGACCAGAAGAAGTCCAGGATGGCCCTTTGAATGTCCTCCACCAGCCCTCTTGGAGGTGTCAAAGCCACAAGTCTGTGCCAGAGAGTCGAGGCAACCAAGTTATTGACCACCAGAACTCTTCCCCTATACGACAACTGGGGTAGCAACCATTTCCATTTAGACAACCGAGCGCACACTTTCTCCCTAACTCCCTCCCAGTTTTTACTTTTAAAGCCCTCGGTACCCAAATAAACCCCCAACACCTTCAACCCCTCCCTCCCCCACTCAAGTCCACCGGCAGACTGGGCACTGCCTGGTCCCTCCACTCTCCCACCAATAAGGCACCACTTTTTTCCCAGTTCACCCGTGCAGCTGTTGCCCTTTCATACAGGGACAGGGTGTCCCGCAGACACCGAACGTCCCCCTGATTGGAGATGAAGATGTTTACATCATCAGCATAGGCAGAAATTGTAGGGGGACATTCAATGCTACAGGCCGCGGGCAAAGAAAGCCCGCTGAGCCGGTCCCTCAACCTGCACAGCAAGGGCTCAATAGCCAAGCTGTACAGCTGGCCGGAGATGGGACAACCTTGTCTGATCCCTCGCCGTACAGGGATTGGCCGACTCAACCCCGCCCCCATCTTCACCAAACACTGTGCATCCTGATACAACAAACCAACTAATGACACAAAACCATCCCCAAAACCAAAAGACCTCAGTGCAGAAAACAAATACGAGTGATCCACCCTGTCAAACGCCTTCTCTTGATCCAGAGACACAATGCCAACATTTAGATTATAGATTTTACACACATCAATGACATCTCTGATAAGAAAAACATTATCCATGATTGTCCGGTCTGGAACACAGTAACTCTGGTCTTTATGGACCACACTTCCCAGAACGTCCTTTAGTCTGTTCGATAAAGCTCTGGAGAGGATCTTGTAGTCCGCACAAAGCAAAGCAACCGGCCTCCAGTTTTTTAACAATGCCAGGTCACCTTTCTTGGGGAGCAAGGAAAGAACTGCTCTCTTACAAGAACCAGGAAGAGACCCGGTCCTGCAACACTCCATTAAAACACTATGCAGGTCAGACCCAAGAATATTCCAGAACCTCTTAAAAAAGTCTGTGGACAACCCATCTATTCCAGGTGCTCTTCCTGTTGCCATCTGAGTGACAGCAGCAGTGAGCTCCTCCAGAGACAGCTCCCCTTCCAGAAGAGACCTCTCCTCCACACTGAGCTGAGGGAGACCCTCCAGGAGCTCCCTGCGACACTCCTGGCTGCAACTCTCTGCTCCAAACAGATCCTCATAGAACTGCATGGCGTGACTGCTCATTTCCTTTGGATCAGCTGTTATTCGACCTCCTGGCAGTTTCAGACAAGTCAGCAGCTTTTTTTGAGCCACAGATCTCTCAAGATTGAAAAAGAAAGACGTTGGGGCATCCATGTCTTTGAGTTGAAGGAAACGACTCCGCACAAGAGCTCCCTTCACCCTCTCCTGCAGGAAAGAGCTCAACTCCATACGTTTCTCCTTCAGCAGGGTACCAGTGGTGGGATCCACACTCCCATTTAACCCCTCCTCAAGGTTCTTAATGTTGTCCTCAAGATTTTTAATGACTGTTTTTAATCTAGCAGAAGAGTGTGACGTGTACTGCTGACAAAAAACACGAATCTGAGCTTTACCAACCTCCCACCAAAGCTTCAAAGAATCAAACTCAACTTTTCTTAATTGCCACTGATCCCAAAAACACCCAAAGTTTTTACAGAAAACATTGTCCAGTAGAAGCTTGTTATTAAAATGCCAGAAGGACTTAGCCCTTTCACCTGGTG